CATGTGAATCGTCAGCGGCAGCACATGGATGGCCCCCCAGCCCTATGTTCACAAGCGATATGCAACAGAGTTGGGTGGCGATGAAAAAACGCCACTGGCCCAGTGATGACACGCTTTTTCTGCTGGTGCAGCCGCAGCAGCTGAGGCGATTGCGGCTGCTGCAAGCGATGTCTCCGCAGCACAGGCACGCCTGCCTGAATTCATGATTGCCGTGATCTGGTGTCATTGGCCGCCGTGCACGTTCCAACACATCCAAGACTGTCGTATCCCGCAAGTCCATGCAAGTCAGGCATTGACAAGTTTGACGACTTTGAACTCATGGTAGTGGTGCACGAAGCATTGTCGCTTGGGCCGGCAGGGAGTTGGGAGTTGGGCCGTACGGTTCTAGCGCTGCTGTGGGCGAAGAGGCGACTCAAGACGTGGGCACCCAAATGCGCAACCTAGATACACAAGCGCACTTCAGCCTAAACCCTCTACCCGCAACTTGCCCGGCCAAAGGCCACAACCGAGAAGCCCCATCTCCAGAAGACCTAGAATACATGGACTTTATCATAAATGCTAAACTTTTGAGGTATAATAATGATATTTAACATAGTATTTCATACATACACACACATATACATACATACATACATACATACATACATACATACATACATACATACATACATACATACATACATACATACATACATATATATTCTAATAAATTAAACTCCATGCCCTGAATGCTTGAGTCTCAATCGCTGACACCAGAATCGTAAAACGTCAGCCCTAACCCTACATCCCACTTTTACATCCTACCTTACATGGCTGAAAGCAAAAACACGGCCCTATAGATGGTGAGTTCTAGTTTGGACCTTCTGGCTCGTGAGGTTCACTGGGGCCAAGTCCAAGAGCAACGTTTGCATCCGGATCACTGCCGGGGTCCAGTGTCTTGGCCGCCATGCCCGGGGTCTGCTTTGTGGTGGTAGCAGGGGTTTCGGGTTTGGGGAAAATGCACATTGGGGTTTACGAGAATAGGGGAACCCCCAAGATAGATCCCCAAATAGAAGGAGTCCCTTATGCTGACTACGGATTTCAGTAAGGTACCCCTAATTTCGGAAACCCCCACATAGACAGTCCTTCTTCCATGAGATCCCTCCAGAGCCTGTGGGGTCTGTCTTGTATCATGCATAAAGCTGGCAAGATCGTCCAGAGCCCAGTGTGCAACAAGGGACAAGTGAGTCAAGCAGATGAGGACACTCTGGGGGTCTAGCTGGGGGTGGAGGTGTGATGAGTCCATTTTCCCCCAAATCTGTGCAAGTCTGCGCGAATGCGCAGAACGCCGCTTCTCGATTCTGGCAGTTGGGAATCTGACTTCGCCAATCTTGCAGTACCAGGTCAGTTGCAACCAGCGAGAACACGAAGGCCGGCTTACTGATTGTGAGATTGTGCCCCGATACCCAAAACCCTCGGATCGTGTCGCATGGAAATCAAATCGTTGAGGTGCTGCGAAGCGTTGCTTAGAAGGATCCTTTGCATGACTCCGCCCGATGCCATGCTGGATGTTTGCTTGAGGTGCCGGCAGCAATGCACCAACCAAGCGATGTATCCACATAAGACCCTATCCCTGTAATTAAGGCGGAAGCAGATTTTCTATGCACTCCCCTTCCTTCCAACCCGGGCAGGCTGTCTTTCACGAGTCTTTGAGCCTTCTTGTCGAGCAGGGTACAGAGAACGTCGTGGTGGAGTTCAGTGGCATGCACTGGCTTGTGGCTTGTGGGTTCATGAGCTTTCACCGGCAATCTTCTGTGCAAGTCAAAGGCTGCTTATTCATTTGCATCCGTTGGCGTGCTGGATAGGTCGCCGTAGGGCCCTCCAGAGCACGAGAGGGTCTGGTTATTTGGTCAGGGGCGGTTCTGTGGGCTCAAGCCCCGGAAATGGACAGAAAGAGATGGTCGGCAAAAGCGATTACGAAGATGCACGAATGAACAGACAAGGTTCACAGATTGGAAGAAATATAAAGGCAGAAATTGTCTTGATTTTTGACCCTGTTTATTCCGGAGTACAGTCTGGGTTCAATCATGAGCTTTGTGTACCAAAGTACGACACACGTTGCCCAGCAGTTCTGAGTCCCTGCGCGTAGGTGCAGTGTCCAGATGGCTAGCCGAAGCCACAGACAAACCCCGACCCTAGAAACCTTAAACCCCTAAGGCCTTCTTAAACTTAAGCTAACAACACCAAGCCACGCATCAAATGCATGTGCCCCAAGACGACTGGACAGCACATGCATCGGGGGGGGGGGGGGGGGTCAGAAAAGAGCAGCCTGGGAAGCAAAAAGGGAGAGAGGGGGTTAACGAAGAAAAATTGGGGGGGGGGGGGGGGGGGGGGGGTGGGGGTTGGAAAGAAGCTTGGGGTCAGAAAAGCAATGGGGGTCAAAACAGATACACGAGCCCTTCAACAGATCCCCCCCCCTTGCCTGGTTCAGCTCGCTAAGCCACAAAGCCTAAACCCTAAACCCTAACCCTAAACCCTAAACCCTAAACCCTAAACCCTAAACCCTAAACCCTAAACCCTGTCCTATAGGCTCTGGACAGCTGAGGCTCTGGGATGTGCGGGAGCGCCGAGCACTTGCCACTCTCAAGCTGGATCCCCTGAAGGACCTGTGACCTTTGAGCTTCTGCATCTGTGACAGGAAAAGTTTGCCTGGGTTTAGTCATAAACATCGGTTAACTTCGCTGATCTTGGAACACAGTCTGGGCTGAAAAGCTGGGGCTTTTCTATTTTGAGGCAAACTCAGGTTTGGCATCCTACTACTACAAGCTTTAAGGGTTTTCTGCTTCGGGATTGCCGATGATTGCCGGCTGAACGCTGCCATGCGGATGATTTGCTCGACACCCCCGCGGAGCTCCCAGGCAGCGCGAGTCGTGACGGGAACAGCGGTGGAGTCTCTGCAGTGGCGCCCAGATCCGACGGAGCCCCTCTCCAAACACCATTCTCAGACTCCAAGACACCCTAAATGAAGCACTGCAGACCCTAACGGCAATTAAGCTCAAACCCAAAACCCACTAGGAGTCTGCAGGGCGGGCGGGAAAAAAAGAGCGCTGCTGGACAAGTGGCAACAAAAAAGAGCCCAAAAAGCCGCCAGGATCTTCTCTCCAACCAAGACATGGGCCGAGAGAAGCTCTATCCCATGAAGCAGAAGACCAAAGGTTTGCTAAACCCGCGAGTAAGGCACCGGACCGATGGGTTAGGGTCTCCAAGTTCGGGGTCAAGAGGGTGACTGATGGTCAAGGAATCAGGATAGTCGACGCGGTACGGGGTGGGGGTGGGGGCTAGGGGAGTGGGGCAGGGTTGGCTGATTGGGCCGGGCTTCAATGATGTTGCACCACTTGGAAAGGGAAAGATCACGACAAAAGCCTTCGGCTTTGCTTAAGAGGTTTTCGGGGCGAAGTCTCGAGATGAAGGCCCCCTTTAAACCCGAAGAAATTCACTACAAAATGCTAACAGCTTCTACCCAAGAGCAACAACATCCAAACCAGCCCAACTGCGCGAGGTTGAGCATGTCTTTTGACGCCGAAGACACAGAGAAGGGCGTCCTCCAGGACGTTGACATGAGCAGCTTTGGCTCAATTTTTGCAGTTTAGGGCGCACTTAGGATTTAGGGTACATGCAGGGGGCCTCTCGTAACTCATACTCTTCTTCATTTGGGGCTTGCGTTCCTGGGTAGCGAGGTAGCAGCCGCATTTAGAGCGAGATGAGTCTCCTAAACGTGCCACTGTGGCATGCAGCGTTCAACCTGTGATCGGAAAAGACCTCACACTTGTGATATGATACTGGAAGTGGTTGCGATACAAGGGTACATTACTCCGCAGCCCATATGATGGAGAGAGAGAGCGCGAGAGTCGGGTGAGTCAAGGAGATCAGAGGCAGCAGGTTTGGGGCTGACTCCGGGGGTGTCATCACCCCAAGCTCTCCATCTCACACCTGGCTGAGGCCGCGAAACAGACATGCTGCTGCGCTCTCAGCTTCAGAAGGCCCGGCTCTGTAGGCCATCCTAAGACCTTGGCACCCGAAACCTGAACCCTAAGCATCCCTAATGCCTAAACACCCGAAGCCAAGAAAAGCAGCCGAAACAGGCACAGGCCCAAGAGGCAGCTCGCTCGCGTGGCTCAAGCTCCGGCTCCGTCACGAAGGCACGCAAATTTCCTGGGGGGGGGGGGGTTCTGAACCAAAACTTTGGTGCAACTCTCGGACATTCTAGGACCATGCTTGGAGGCTCTTCTTGTTACTCCTTTTTCAAGGACTACGTAGACATTTTTGGAGGCAAACAGACTGCGGGGCGGATTTCGGGCTTAGGCCTGCCATAAAACCCTTGACCCGCGTGATCCCTGTCTCTCCCCCTTCAGGGATCGTGAAGACGACAGCACCACTGTTGGTTCGAGACATTGTCTTGGGGTTCTGATGGTTGCTCAGACTTGACGCAACAAGTTCTGTTGAGCTTGCGAGTGCGGGGAGGCCAGGGGGATATATGGAGCTGAACAGAAATGTGTCCTCTCGAGAGGTCAGCGTGAAGTTGGCCGCTATTGGCCGAACCTGCAACATCATCTCACTGGATCCGATGGAGTTTACTGAAAAAGTTGCAATTAACGAGGTGAGACCTTCTACTGTCCGATTAACCTCTACACAATTTGAAAGTTAATTTGAAGCTGTCTTACGCGAACTACCGGCACTGAAGTCGCACATTGCTACCCTTCTCCGTTGAGCCGTTCAGCTTCTTTTTGTCAACAATGTCTTGGCATACATGCATCTCAACGTCCAAGATTATGTTTTAGTTGTATAAGGGGAAAAGTTGGCCTCTTGTGGGCAGCTTGTATATAGAAGATGATAGAAGGCATTCGGCTAGTGGCACATGCGCGCAGGAGTCAGCAGCCCCGCCCAAGGAGATGTCGAAGGCGCTGTTTTTGCTTGACGTGCAAAATGCCTTGAAGTGAGGTGACACGCCTTAATTTGTTCTCATGTCGATGGTGCGATGGAGAGGAGAGAGAGAGAGAGAGAGAGACCCAGACCTGGACAAGCCAGATTGGGGGACAAGTGAATCGGAGGGAGAAAACGCCAGGAGATCACCAAAGCTGGAAGGGGAGGCAAGGCCATGTGAAAGACCATCGGCCAACACACCCGCACCACCAGCTGGAGACAACACCATGACCGAGGGCGCGGACCAGGAGATTGCCAACAACGAGATCAAGAACAAGGATTGGGAGAAGCTGGGAAGAAAAGGGGAAGAAGACGAAGAACATCGAGGACACCAACGAGCACCCACCGACACACCCCCACCACCCGACAACGAATATGAAGAAGTACAGGTGGAACCAGAAGGAGACGAACATGGCAGCATGAGCGGGAGTCTGGAAAGTGGTCACAAACGACTCCCACAGCCCGCAGTACCCCAACACCCAAGACGCGGACCATGGTGGAGACTACAACACACACAACCAATGCGTACCACTACCGCAACTACCACCTCGACTACCGCGTCGCCGGCCTCCACCTCTACTTTGCCAACAATTGGAGGGACGACACAGCAGCAACCACGTTCACAACACCACCAGCCCTCGGGCATGCAACATGTACGAGAATATCCGGCGAGATCGCTTCCTCCACCACAGAAGTCCAAGAAGAGATCGAGGGAGCCATTTGAAACACCATGGGCACCTCGAACCACAAAGGAGGATGAATGGGGGGTCACAGATTCAAGGATACCGAGCACGCCCCGTCCCCGCAAAGGCACGCCCCGTCCCCGCAAAGCACAAGATCGACGCAACGACCGACCCCCACTGCCGAGGAAGAGGAGATATGAGCAAAGTATGGGGGTAGAGACAACCACAGCTACTGCCACCGCAGCTTCTTCATCCACTACAAGCAGGGAGAACCTCACGAGTCAGATCAAGAGAGTGGCGACCCACCCATGGTCACGACCGACGAGAAGCTGAACACAATCTACACCAACAGGTCAGTATTAGCACTTACCACTACCACCACCACTGGACACCCTCCACTGCAAACTATGACCTGGAGCTTGACAGCGTTTGGATCAGCACATCTGAGCGATGCACAAGGGTGACCACCTGAGCCTAAGCCTGAGTAACCGCTCTTTTCCGGCCTTTACAATAATTAAGGGAGCGAAGTCTCCATGCACCACATAAGTAAACTCATCGGGAATCCTCACCTTTCCCCTTTTCCCTCGTGGGTCCCTGGGTGTTGGTCGTTTGAGTTGGGGGTTTCGGTTGTTGGGAAAAGGGGAGTTGTTTATAGTTACCCGCTCTGAAAGAGCCAGCCCGAAGCACCCGATCCACCAACTCTGTGGGGAGGGAGTCGCTTCCGTTTCCTAAACCACCAAACTGTGGGGAAGGAGTAGTTGGGGAAGGGTCACAATTAACGGGCGGGATCAGCCATCTCGATCCACACGTAACAGTGCACGTTTTTGCCCAACCCCAAGCCCAAAGAGGCAATGTCTACACATCTTCACACCCAGGGGGAATTCTTATCTATCTGGTTGTGTTGAGTGGTTCCATCCAAGATGTGTACACACATTTCACACCAACTGACTCGGTAACGCATGCCCCTGGGGGCGGCTCCTTTCGGGGGGCCTGTTGCGATGGAAGGAAGGAAGAAGAGAGAGAGAGCAACTGCTACCTCCCTGAGGTGATGCAGAGTGTATAAGAGGTACTCTTTGCACCTTTGGCCTTGGGTTGTCTGACTCCCTGAGCTCACACTGTAAGAGTGGGGGGCCCGTCTCAAGAGGGGGGCCGGGGAGTACAGATGGAAACACAAATGGAGGGGCCCCAACTGACTACACCGACCTCTACCTCGACGTGTTCGACGCCGCCCACCTGCCCGGGGAGTTCGTGGAGCTTACCAGTGGGGGGCCCATGTCATGAAGGGGTCCTGGAGACGCAGCTGGATGAGCAACAGGACAACGAAGACGAAACCTTCGCTGGGAGTGAGCCATGTGAAAGAGGCGGTGAAGCTGGAAATTCCTCGGGGAAACCTGAAGAGTGAGGGGGACCCGCTTAGTGCCTCGTTTTGAGCGGTGCTCAACCACTAGGAACCACTGGGGGACCATCAAAGCATGGCACCCTAACCTTTCACCTTGGACAGAGCAGCGGGCCAGCGTGGCCGGGGTCCTCTCCGGGGGGCCTCTTCGCTGAGCAGAAGAAGAGAGAGAGAGAGAGAGAGAGAGAGAGAGAGAGAGAAAGAGAGAGAGACAGAGAGAACGAGACCAATTGCCAAGTCGTCCTTATGCCCTAGTTCATGCGCAGATGGTTAGGCAGGCTGGCAAGCGTGCCCCTAGCAGGCCGCCTGGGTCAAGAGTGTTCCAGGAAAGCAAGAAGTACAATAGGCTGTTATTGTATAATGCTATTCATCATGATGCAACTTTCCTTGAGGGCAACGCTGGACAGCCAGGCTGAGCAAAGCAAGCAGATCCCTGCAACTCCTATCAGAACTACTGAGAGCATCCAACGTTGTTTGCCGGAGGTGGAGATGATGGCCAGGGGTATCGCAGGAGCCAAGGGCCGCGTAAGGTTTCAAGATACGGGCTGTGGCTTGGGCAGGGAGGGGTCAGGAGTTGGGGGCACTCGATGGCCCTTTCTTCGCACTTCCGAGCTTGGGAGCGGGCAACCCCTATAATGGCCCTGTAAGTGAAGCATGGAAAGGGCGGCTGACATGAAAACGAACAAATTAGGGCAACTCCTTCCATTCAGCAGCCACAGCAAAGATGTTGCGTTTTGACCGCATGACTTCTTGCAGAGTCGAAGGCCGCAGCGAAGAAAGGATTCTGCGATGGTCCTCCAGTTGCGTTTCTCCTGAGCTTGCCCTCAAAGAACATAGCTTAAGGACCCATCATTTGGATAGTTTATAGTTTGATGGTTGCACGGGCACTTTTGTAAGGGGAGTATTGGCACACAATTCCGGTCCTGATGCTGGGAACACGACTATGTAACATGCACGGGCGGATCGGGTGTTCTGCCTTGTCTTTCGCCAATTTTGCACCTTCCATGTTTTTTTTTTATAATTCTGTTACGTGCAACGAACCAGCAAAACAGACACACACACACACACACACACACCCACCAACACACCAACACGCCAACAAACCATCACACTATCACACTATCACACCATCACACACTTCACACAGTTCACACAATCACACAATCACACACACACACACAAACCATGTTTCGAGGACCGCTGGACCAGTTCGGCAGCTGGGGAAGCCGGGAGTCCGTGTGGGTCACTGTGCGAGGCAGATGGTTTCAAGTGAACGGCATGTTCAGAAGTAGAAAAACACATAGCAGTTTTCAGAGTAGGCGCTGCGTGTATCACCGCCCGGAAAACGGGTACCCGTGAAAGGTACCCTAGTTTAGATTGATGCCCGTCTAGAACATGATTCCCAGAACCAACCCATCGCGTCCCTACACGCTGGTTTGCTTTCGAATCCTTGGTGAGGCCCACCGGAGCAGAAGAAGTACACGCTGTGCATCTACAAGGATGAGCAAAAATGCCGCTTTCCCTGGGCTGGAATGTATACTGGGAGGCAAACTAGTTCTAGGCAGGTGTAAAAACAAAAAGGGCCTGAAGCTACAAGAAATACCTGGTGCAACCCACCATCGTGCTCTCTCGGGGTTCGGGTTTCGGGCTTAGGGGCTCAATTCTTAAAGCAAAAAGAGCCTAGGGGTACTCCGTGCAGGAGTTTTGGGGGGCTTGTAGGAGCATGGTACAGCAGAGCACCCGGACGCTGCATCACCTCACAGGTGGCAAGAACCCAAACCCCAAACAAAACCCTAAACCCTAAACCCTGACCAGAGTCCATGTGTTGTTGTGTGGTGTACTGACAAGTGGTTTGAGAGGTATTGTTTGTGGTTTGTGGATGGACGATGGTTGGTTAGTAGGACACCAGTCGCGCCTCGTAATCGCCCTGCGATGTGGATTCGCCCCAGCTGTGCAGGAGTGAAAAAAAACCCTAAACCCAAATTCCAGTGAACGAGGCAACAAGGGCGATGAGCCGATGCTCGAGGTGGACCTCTTGAAGGCCCACATCTGAGAAAGGGTCTAGACCCTAAACCCTAGCCAATTCCCTGCAATGTGGACGTGCAGTTCAGCTGGGTGGGCGACAGAAAAACCCTACACCCTCGGAAGCCCATGGCTTTCGGTAGTTCGGGCACTTGCGCCTTCTGTGTTTTGTTTGTTCCAAAGGTCCCCTGAGCAATCCGGCTTGGTCAACCTTAATTTTGAGTTCAACCTCTCGCTACAAAAAGGGCTGTGTAGAAATATGAAGGGAGTACATATTCAAATCTATAGACCTGTTTATGCATTTTCTACATTCTTGTAAAGGAAGTGAATGAAACAGTTATCAGCAGATGTCGCGAGTTGCAAGGTGCTGAGCGTGCAGCCAGACCCTGCCCGCAACGAAGTTTTCATCATCAACTATGTCGCGGATTCGAAGAACAAGGCGGCGCCACACTAAAGTGTGTGTAGCAGTGTGGCATGTGGGCTCTGCACAGTCGATGCTTCTCAGCCCATTGTCAGGGCCGTGCCGGCTTCGGACGAATGATTTGAGATCGCCAACGGATCTGTAATTGTAGTCCGAGTGTTGGTGCCCGAGTATTGGTACGTAGTCAGGTGTCGCTCGTGCCCCGCCTCTTTTAAACAGACTTTCTGATTCTTGTCCTCAACCGAGCCTGATCACCTACATACCCCAAACTCTGAACCAAGAACCCAACACCCTGAACTCACGCACTTAAGTACGCCAAACCACTGGAAGGTGAAGCAGCGCCTTACCTTCTCCCGAATTGACCGGGCTCGCGACATTTGGGTCGAGATGTTCACGCTGCTCATCACGAAGCCCGGATTGCAGATGGGCGTTTCTGGTTTAGGGTATAAAGATTGGTGGTCATGGATTCCGTTCCGAGTTCAGACAGGGTATGCGCAATGTTTGCGCTAGGGATTTCGACACATGCTCTGAGCTAGCAGGATAACATCGGAGCTGTAGACTTCCTGCATTGAGCCAGTACTCTGCCACCATTCTGCACAAGTGCCCGAACAGCAACTGAGGATGATCCGTGAAGAGAAGGAGTCGAGCCTTCGAAGCATTGGTGGCCGAGAGGCTTTCTATTGACTCTCCATGCTTCCCGTCGCGCTGCTGAAGCCTAAGGAAATCCTTGAAGGCCAAGCGTTAGATGAGGGACGCCGTCGGACAAGCGAGACTCGCCGATCAGAAAGTGCATCCTTGCACAGCAAGCTGGCCGAAGATGCTGGAAAAACGTGACTCTCTCGGTGAACTCCCTTGTCGCAGGCAAACCATAAATGTTTCCAAGCAAGTAGCAGGGACTTTCCAGGCCAAGCTCCGAAGCAACCGCGAGCCGCGTCAAAGCCCTCGGTCTTAAATGCCCCTGCACCCAGTTGGTGGCCACCCCGATTTTGGGCTCAGGGAAGTGAACATGCGCATAGAGGCTCAGGGAGGGAGCCGCGCACATGGGATTGTTTGGTTCCAACCAGCCCATCAGGTCAACAAGGCCAGGATACGCAGTCGGTAAGAAGTAGTGCTAAGTGTCCGACACAGCGAACGTTGGAGTCTTAAGCATCACGATGACTCCTATTGGGGGGGTTTTCACAGAGGATTTGCGGGTTTGTGGAAGAGAGGGTTGCCCACCATCGGCCTGTCCCTTGGCTCCCGCGGACGACTGGAGCATCATGGCCAACACACTCGATCCCCGGCCGCAGATGCTTTGGACTTTAGCCCCAAACCATCCCAAACCCTACCTAACCTTTCCTACCGATTCCAACAAAAAAGATGCACGTGGAAGGCACAAAAGCGTCCTAAATCAAGCTTAGGGCCTCAGACCTTGCAAAGCCGCTTAGGGCCTCAGACCTTGCAAAGCCGCAGTGGCCCTTCTAGGTTGCCAGGGTTCTTTGAGCTACTTAAGTTGCGGAGGTGTTCCTCTGTAGAAGCAGCGGGTGCGGATACAAAATGGCTTAAGGAGACCATCAGGCGGTGCCCCCTAGCCCCTTACAAGCCGGTATGCTCAACAGCGAATTTGCAAAAATGCGGTGAGCAAACTGAGGAGATTATTGGTGGCTGCAGCGCGCGCCCCCTAGGTACGTTCTCTGTGAGGTGAAGGAAAGAGGGATACCAGTATTGATTTGCGCGACTAGCACTGCAAGCCATGATGTTGATGTTGGAAAAGCTGATCCTTGCCCAAGTTTGCTCCTCACCCAGGCCACCACAACCAGAATGATCTTAAAGCGGGAGATGGAGAGATTTGGCGGTGGGCTCAGGGAGGACCCTGCGGGGCAGAGTCATCTTCGTCGCCCCTGAATGCCCGAACATCACAGCACATCCAGGATAGCCGAAACGCTAAAAAGGGGGCAGAACAACGTGACCATTCTTGTGTCATGTCCCGCTTGAAACATCCGCTCAGGCAGCGTCGACGTTTGCCATATGGGAAACCGTGCGGTACCAAGATAGTTCCACCTGTGGGCCATACTTGTAGCAGCAATAGCACTAGCAGCCTGTCGTGCATGGGTATGAAGGGTTTGCAAGAATTAAACTAATTAAACCTCGATCTGCTGGGCCAAGACTTCGGCGGTGCTGTGTAGCAAAGGCAGACCAGGCGCCAAGAAGTCTGAAGGGCGTGGCAACTGCTAAGGGAGCGAGGGAAGCGGCTTTCACTGAATGGGCGAATGGGTGCATGAGTTGCTTGGTTTTGTGTTTCCTGCGTGGTCGGGTTAAGGGCCTTTCCAGGCTTTAAGGGGTCGAGGATTGTCCACTGAAGAGGTTGCCTGGTGCTGTCAATTTGCTGAGGCGATAATATCGAGAAGGAGCCACCATGGGTACGTCTGGAGCTTAGCAGTTTTTGTGGCCGCAGTGAGTGAGCCAAACCTCCCAAAAACAGCAGAGTGCCAAGTTGCATGTGGGTAGCACGATCCATGCGAGGGATGCTTTAGGCCTTGGTGTGCTGGGGAAGCTCTGCAGTATCAGCCCCATCGCCCCAGACATCCCCAAATCCAGGCTTCTCAGACTCAAAGGCGGCCGAGGCTGCGCCTGCCCCAGGAGGATGGAACCCAAGTAACATGTTTGGGCGCTTGCTCCAAAAGCTGGAACTTGCTGGATGGGTTTGGGTGTCAGGGTTGTTTTGGGGAGATGGGCTTCAAGCTTCAGGAGTTTAAACCCGAATTCCCCCTCCTGGTCTCCAGAACCGATGGTGCCAAGGCACTGGAGGCGATATCAACAGGGCAGGCACGACATGATGGGGGTGGTTTAGGGTTTAGGGTTTAGGGTTTAGGGTTTCGGGTTTAGGGTTTAGGGTTTATAGGGTTTAGGCAATTGATGGCGTGGCTGACCTGACTGTCCGTCGTGGAGCGCTACTCCAGACATCCTTCGGCACGTGGAATTTTGAAGTGGAGCTGTGCGATGCTTCGGTGGATGCTGGCCTCATAGACAGGTGGCCCTATGAATCTTAACAGTACTTGCGCCAGGTAGTGATTGATGGCATCATCATCAAAGCTTCCAAGAGTGCGAGAAGAGGCCGACACCTCGAAGCTCTGCCTCCGATGGCATAGCAGCGCCGAAAATCTGGCAGAATCACATCTCTTAAGAAGTACCCTTGCCATGCGATCAACCCTCTTTTTATTGTTGCCTGGGTTACTTGGGCCTTTCAACATCCCCCCATACCTTTGGTCAAAGTGAATGCTGATCGGCAAGGCCCAGATGACACAGGTCCATGCCACTGTGAAGTGACTCTGAGATCATACCTTTGACCACCTGAAAGCACAATTATAATGCTTTCATTTTGAGGCCTCAATCACCCCCAAGCCCCAAAACACTGCAAGAATGTGGCTGTAGGGTCCTCCACTGCAAGGCCCACCGCTGGTGTCCCGGCAGCCTCGCGACATGGAAATGGGTAGCCGCGATTTGTTCCTGCAGCGTCGGGGGGCCCATCCCGTTTGTGGTGTGGGGGTTTAAGGTTCAAAGTTGGGATGTTCCCCCTTTTGCTAACCGCCCCTAATAATTATGATTATATAATAAGGGTTACTAGATTCCCTTTTAAGTACTGTTAGTATAACCAAGTTCAAAGGGATGTTTGAGGTTGGTCCGGTCTGCAGCAGGATTCAGAATGCCCGCGTTAGGGATTCAGCCGAACCCTGGTGCCCTGCATCCGTTATTCTAGTGATCTACTCGCCTACTGACCGCACACCTGTGTGCGCAGGCCAAGGGCAGTCCGACGGCGGGGGGCATGGCGGGCATGGCGGACGACGGCCGAGGAGTAGGAGCCGAAGTCGCGGGGGTGGGAGGCCGCCTCTTGATTTCTGTAGCTAGTAGGGCCCTGGTAGGGTTTTTGGGGTTCCAGGTTTGCATCCAGGCATTTCAGCGCTTCGCGCCGAAGCAGCCTCCAACACCCTAAACCCTAACGAAGCCCCTGCAGTTGCTGGTGTGGGAGTCGATGCTCGAATGCTAGTTGGGGGGCCTGAACATGAGTGGCGTTCCTACCTGAACTCTTTGCCAAGGCTGTGGGCTTGCGCACTGCCGCTTGTTAGGGAGGTTGTAGGGACTCTCAGGCCCGAAATCTGGAAACCTCAAACCCGAAACCCCTAAACTCGCCCCTCCCACGTCGAAGCAGACGCGATCGCCGCCCACGTCGCTCCCGGTCTCGTCGACGCCTGGGTCTCGGAGGAAGCTGAAAAAGCTCAGTTCATCAGAGACGTACTATGGGTGTCTTCTAAACTTTGGGCACTAATTAAGCCCCAAATCCCTCTAAGTCCAATTCCTCCGAGTTCTCTCACCCCGCGTTCTAAACCTTCCTCTTGCACACTCTACACTCTCACCCCATTACCTCGGAAGAAGGTCGCAGCGACTCCAAACGACGGCGGAGCAGAAGCAGGAGCTGACTGCCAGGCCAGAGTATCAGGATGGGACAAATGAGTCGTTTCGAATGCTTTGGAGGATTTCGGAGTATGCGAAGTGTAGAAAAATTGCGGGGGGGTTTAGGCTTGACTGCATGGCTTTTCGCTACCTCTTGCGCTGACATCAAGCCTGGCTGGGCACACCAACTCTGAACCCGAAACTTCATAAAGCTGACCGTGGCTTGCTGCCTGCCTTGTGGCTTGCCTTTCATGGGTGGCAACAAGAAGCCCTAAGCTGCAGGTTCGAGGCTGGCACGCATCTGCTGACTGCTCGCCTTGAGGAGACCTTGCTTCAAGCTCTTGTCCTTCGGAACTTCTAGTGCTGGTGCCTACTTGCCCCCTGACATGCAGGATCGGGAGTATGTTCTGAAGCTTATATAGAATACCGTTGAGCCCCTTGGGCTGCGGGCGACTCAATGAAGTAACGGCGCAGAGCTCACGGCCCATGTCACGCCTCGAATAGCAGGCTTATCGACCGAATGGCAGCCATGGACCCTTCTGTGAAAAAGCGCGCTGTTCTCGTGCCAGTAGGCATGCGTTTCTTGCGTGCCCGATGATGCTTCTGATAATGATGCGGATAGCGTAGAACAGCTTAAATTCGCGAGGACAAGCTATATATATATATAATTTATGTATATATATATATGAGAAGCATACCACAATGCTGTCGAGCGGCAGAAGCATACTGAAACAGTGCTGAGCCCAACGCAATGTAAGCAATTTAGAGGATTCTGTGTGGACTTGCTCCATGTAGGATGGCATGCCCCGATACAGTGTGCAGGTGCGGACGGTCCACGAAAAGGAGCGACACCAGGACTGCAACCGGCAGCGAGAGCATGTGTTTTATAAACTGGAATGCAGCGCGCCAAAAATGTGTTTTTGGTCTAATCTGAGGTCCTTTCGTGGGTCATGGATATCTTTAAGAAGAGTACTCAGTTGATGAGAAACAGCCCAAGGGACACCCGACCCCCATGTGAATGTGCGCAGCCGGGTCCACGTTCTCGGCTCGCAGCCCTGTGGCGCAGAACTGGAACACACTGGAACACAAAGTGGGGTGCCCCTCAGATTGGTGTGACTTAAGCCATGGCCGACTGTGAGCCCTCCACCACGCCACTCCGGGCTCCTGCGGAGCCGCAGAAATGCTGCGGCTGCAACCGGAGGCGGGATGACCACATGGATGCACGTCCATGGGCTTCCTTGTCTTAGCCGCTTCCTTATGCTAGTCTTGAGAAGGGCGAGGTTGCTGCCCGGAGGATCAGGATCGCAAGGGCAAGGAGGGCAAGGCATCAAACTGCACATATAGGTTTGCTTGGGCCTTGGGCCGCTGCCATCTCCAGCTCAATCCGGACTCCATATGTGTTGTTTGAACGTGCACTTCGATCTGCGAAACGAGATCTCCAGAAAGAAAGAGGCTCGACTGTTTAACTTGGGTTGTGATGGGGGGTTGCAATGAGAATGAAAAACTTTGTTCCCTGTTGGATTCCGGCATACTGAGGAGAGAACTATAGGCAGCAACAGTCTTGTTCTGGGGGGAGAGAGTGTCATGGTCTGCACAGCCAAGGAGACTTCTCACACCTTCCTAAGGAAGATTGGCATCCATTATGCCTCACCTTAGCGCACCACAGGTTCTATCACAGAAGCTCGGCTGCATTCGGCTGCTGAGCCACAGAGCTCACAACACTTCACAATGCATCACAAATTGCAACTGGATGTTGCGGAGTCTATCGACACCCGGAGAATTAAGGCCTCTCAGCGCGTCGCCTTGGCACAGCGACTCTGCTTCCACGGCAGCAGAGACACCCCCTGCGGACGAGGACCGAAGATGTCGACCGTGCGATTAGAGCATTCAGCACACTGTAGAATTGGCAATGCCGGTGCTGCAAGTAGCAAGAAGCCGCAGGACCGCGGCATACACCGAAAACAGGTCAAGTTTTCAGAGGGCGATGGCACCTCCGAGGACGTGCGGCAGCCCAGGCACGCTTCTCATCGCAGTTCCTTGCTAGCCCCTTCGCCGAATGGACCTCTGCATTAGAGGGAGTCGTCACGCTGCGGTTTCAGTTTGTGGCGCCACACTCCCCACACTCCCCACACTCCCACTCTCCAGGCGGGGTGGCGTTGTAAATGCTTGCGCGCGCCGCCTCGCAGACGAAGCAAAGCCCAGTCACGCAGCGTAGGGAACCCCCACAGGATCGGATTGCAGCAAATTTTACAACCCTAAACCCTAAACCCGTTTAAACCCTAAACCCTGGCCCTAATCTGTCGCTTTTTCACAGGAGCGACCAGGCGGAGCGTGACAAGACGCTAGCAACGCGTTGTGTGTGCGGCGCTCAGCAAGGATCATGGCTAGAGGATCTACTGAGTTGGGAATCAAGAGCGAAATAGCGGTGGGAGCCCTTGACTCAGAACGCAGGGGCACAAGTTGCAGTACAGCCAAGGAAGCAGGGCACCCCTTTTCAAAAACTGCCTGTGCACCTGTGACATGTGTTGCCTGTGCACCTCCAACAACATGCATATGCACATATATATATATATATATATATACATATATATATATATATATATATAGATATACACACACATATATATATATAGAGAGAATATTGTAAAATCATGAGGCGCTGTCTACGATCCTCCCCTGCTTCCTGGCCTCACCTCCGCTGAGCAAGTAAGGTCAGTCTTGAATGCCACGACTGTTCGAAAAGATGGCAAGGACTGCGTTTCCCGCGAGTACATCCAAACAACAGACTCTCACCCCGAAAATGTTGCTGGGGTTGACCTTTTTGGTCTGCACTTTCTTGGCTGCATGTAGGCGACGGCGCCCGCGCGCACCCATGTCTTGGGGGGGGGGGGGAGGGGGTGGCGGGATAATAACGTCACTCATGTGGCGACCATGCCCAAAACACTGGCCTAGCTTCGAAAGCTTCCAAACACACCCAAAGCCGACGCGCACAGCCCATCTTTGGCGAGGAAACCGGCCCCGACATCGACCCTGTCCAGCTCCAAAGAAAGGTCGGAATTTCGCTCAAATTCGCTCGGCCTTTGCCGGGGCTCAGGTTGCAATATGTTTGGATATGGTTGGGGTATTGATGGGTATTGTCGGTCCCTACCTGTCTATAGCATGCCTACATCCGCGGCTGGAAGCTTTGTACTATAGGGTTTGAGGTCGGCAGGCTTCGCAGCTTGGGGTTTGTTGGAGGTGAACTTCCGCTATTAACATGTGCTTCGCGGTTTCGAGGGCCTCATAAAGAGGCCTCCTTGTTGGGGTTTCGGTTCGAGGGACGCAGAGAAGCAACAGTTTCCTGTTCTACCGGTTCTACCGGTCAACAGCTTGGGTTTGCCATCCCGGGGCGGCTGGGGTCTAGGTTCTATCTGTTGGATAGACCGCAAACTGGCGCCTTCGTGATGTGCAGGTTTATCAAAGTATCCGACTTCTACGAGCCTGCTCCTTCTGCGGGAATGATATTGCCGTGTCCTTACTGTTGCAGGCTTCCGATGCTGCTACGTGTTGGCATGCCATTTCCTTCCCGGTCTGCGTGTAGCAGCAGTATATTACGCAGAAGCACAGGCAGGTGCCCCAACAGACCAGAAAGTGCAGAGCAGAACAATGTGTGGCCATACGCCTACATACTTGTCACAGCTCCTCCCCATGTAGACCTTTGCGGCAAAATCAGCTCACCCTAGATAGCCAGACACCTCCTCCAAGGAGCTCACTTTGGCCTATGCCTGTGTCTACTTCCGACGGGTCCTGCCTTCCCTGATTCATCGCGTCGGGAATACCGAGGCACAGCTGTTGTGGGTTGGGTGAACATGTGGGCGTGTTGATTTTGGATAGGGACGGACCATCGTTGTCCGTCTTGGATGTATCTGCCGCGCACCTGTGCACATTACAGACAGAAGATGATCTGATCGACAAAGTATGCAGACACGAGCAGCACCAGTCACAAGTCGCGGAAGACATTCAGTGATTCTTCCGCTCGTCGTGCTACACCCGTTTCCCATGCTACCATCTCTACGGCTTGTTCAGGCTTACTACTTTCTCGGAGGCACACTTTAAAATGTGAAGTGCTGGCTTCGCTTTCAAAACTTTCCTTTTCGGCGCCAAAAGCGGAAGGAAAGGCAGAAGAGTCTGAAACAGTCAGCTCCGTCCAAAACCTTCTTCGCCTTCCTTACGAGGCCGCACATAAATGCTGTGATGTGTAAGCCACTTTGATTTCGTAAGATGTTCCGTTACCCGGTAGAAAGTCAAGGCCCAGCCTTGAGAAACCCGGGAAGGCAAGAAATCTTCAGGTGCCTTCAGACACATACAAGAAAGCTTCAGCTCCTACTGGTAAAGCCTTTCCCTCCCCTCCCTTCCCTTGTTTTAGAAGGGCAGAGATAAGCCATAAATCCCGAGACTTCTGCAACACCGGGCAAGAACTATACATGTATGATCATGCATACAGGGGAGGTGGGTACCAAAATTAGCCAGATCACCCCCCTAGCGATGGTAGGCATAATGAGAGCTGAGCATTGACCTGAAACCGAGTTTCGACTGATGTGCGCATCGTCAAACGTCACGTGCATTAACTATTCTCCCGCGAGGAGTGTATCCCCCCCCCCCCCCCCTCTTTGCCTATAATGTTCATGTGAGCGGTTCACTGCAAGGCGGTTCACATAATTGTCCTCCTGATCTACATCGCTCACAGCCACGGACTGAGACAAAGTGTTCAGCAAGAAACGCCGCCAGCTGATGGGAGTAGGTGGATGAAATCTTGCAGCTGCAGCAGCGCAGTCTGGGCAGCTCTTGTCAGGCTTTGTGCTGGACGAGTCGTGTCCAATGGGAGCCTGGGCAGCAAGTGGCGCGCCATTCTCTTCGAGAGAGGCATATTCTGCTTGCATGGGTTTGATTCATCGGCCCACCAAGACATACTTCCAGGCCAGCACTTTGTCCCCAATGGAGCTCTTGACAAGGAGAGTGGCACAAGTACGTCTTCAAGAAGTACTGCTCAGTGAAGAAGATGGATGCGGCGCTGTTTCGAATCCTTCTGCCACTCGCATCTGAAGGGCTGTCGAATTGCAAGTCTCATCATGGGGCCTTTCATGACGCTCTGTCGAGTTGGCATAGGACTCTAACAAATATGCCTGCCTCGTGCCTGCCGTTGTGTTTGGGACAACGCACCACGTTGCAGGAGACAGATATTTATTTGGGGTTCACTGTGCGTCTTCTGATCTCTGATTTTTTTCGGACTGAATGTTGAGGGTTTAGCGACAGCTCTTCCCAGAGGCTTCTAGATTGGCGGCTGATGGTCAAGGAGGAGGAACAGGCACTTTGTCTTTCCATTTTGGAGAGCACGGAGCGGTCCCTTTCTGGAAGTGACTACAGCGTTTTGTGCATGCAAGTCGCATCTGCTCTTTGTTTCAAACTCGTGGCGCTGACGCTATGTCTGCTGAATCCCTGTGGCAGGCGATGCTGCTACGAGCGCTGCGACCGAACAAGGAACAGTTGTGATCGGTTGGGCTGGCTGCGTGGGCTAATCGTTTATCCTTGCTCTTGTTATTGCTCGGTACAAATATCGGTGTGTAGCTTAGCCTGGGTCCGTCAGCCAGACTTGTCCTGAAGCGCTTCGGTGCCAATACTCACAAGCACCTGTTCCGCCAGCAAACTGGCTGGAGCTCGTGCTGCAACGGAGAGTTGCGGATGTGTTCGTGTAGCGAAAATATTCAATGAGGGGAATTCATGGGCTGGCGGAACTGCAGCAGCCGCAACCACCTCCGTCAGGCCGTCAGGGCCTAGATAAGTGAGATACATCATGCCTGCAAACCTTTTGAAAGCCCACAGGGCAGGTTATTTGTACTGCATGATCCTCGTATCGTCAGACACTGCAGCTATTTTGTGGACTGTTCTCAAGGTGCAGGGCATCTCTCGGCCAACATGCTTTGCATGGCCCTCTAATCCTTCATTTCTGCACGTTTGAGTGGTGGTGCATCACCCCCACTGTTCATATATCCATATGTAATGCAGACAGCGCCGCCTCATGCTCACTGGCGCGAAGACCATGTGTTCCGACTGATGGACTTGACTTGCATCGGATCCGTCTGTTGTTCAAATGGCGGCTACCGTGCAGCCTTGTATTTTGCAATCAGCATGGTGCGGGCGTCCTGCTTGGGGACGACTATACAGCCCTGCCCGTCGTCATGCTTTCTTGTTCAATCGAGGAGACGCCCTGCTGCTGCACGCAAAATGATGAAAGCCCTGTACCGAAGTGCTTTCGAATCCCACACGGAGACGGAGACTCACAGCCATCTATGAAGATACAGAAGTCTCAGAAGCCTGCTGGAGCCGCAGGTATGCGATTGCTGGCATCATGGCTGCCTTGGTGCTGGCGGCTGCGATCGTTGCGATCATCATGGCCGCCAACTCGCACGGAGCACCAGATGCATGGAGTTTTTTTTTACTTTTTCTTGAGTGGCTTGCGGGTGGTTTCTTAGAGGAGGGCTTGCGGCACTCTTTGGTGCCTACATATTCTTGCCATGATTGCCAAGGCCTTGAGAAGACGAAGCACCGATCTTCGTCTTTAGGAGTAGTGTACGTTGATCTTCGTGCTTGAGTCGGCAACTGATAGGGTCCTCAGGGGGGGGGGGGGGGGGAGAATGGGGGGGTATGTAACCCAATGCTTAATTATGCCCTAGTGCCCTGAGCTAGGCACCTCCCTCCTTTGAACCCTCTTCCCTTACAAGTAGCTTTCATGGATTTGGTAGAATTCTGTCGTCAACCTTTGCGCATATGCATATAAACCCCGCTTGAAGCCCAAATGTTTCAACGGTTCGCCTCGTTTCATCGGTTTTAAAGCTGCGAGCCGATAGTGATTCTCCCTCTGGAATTCCGCGCGCTTAGCAGACCGCACGCACGCATTCGGCAAATGAATATTTGTATGTATGTGTGTATATACATACATACGTACATACATACATACATTTACTCAAATCTTGAACTGACGTTGGTTGCATGCATTCCGTTTCTGGGACTGGTGGTCCGAAAGCGATCGGGGGCCCACCCTAAAAGCGATGCCCATGTAGTCGGGCTACCTCGAACATCGAGAGGGCCCACCATGTTTGTCACGCAATGTTCAGCGAACAATGACTTTTGCCAGCTGCATATGTAGGTGTAAATACGAAAATCTCAATTCCAAACTTGGCTTCGGGGGGTTTTAGGCCCACAGTACCCGAAACATAGGCGAAACAAGCTACACGCACGAATCCCAAAAAGCAAATGGTCAGATCTCTGAATCGTTTTTTTGGGTAATAATTTGAGAAATCACCAGATGGTCCCCACAAAGCCTGTGAAAGCCTCGTTTTCCCAGACAGGAACCTGAGCCAAATCTCGATGCCCTCCAAGTGCCCCTCACAACAAAGTCACTTCCGAAATACAAAAAGCCTAAGCCCTAAACCCTAAACCGTTGACAAGATGACATCTGGAGCCTTGCCTGCGCGTGCGCTAGTGTGAGAGTCGAAACCGTTGCCTCAAGTCCAGCCGAGAAACAGACCTTGAGATCCGTGCGTAGGAACACCCCCACGAGGCCGCAGACCGCAAGCATCCCCAAGCCATCCCAAGTCAAAATTTAGGGTTTAGGGTGTAGGTTTAGGGTAAGACCCAAAGCTCAGCCCGAAAAGAAAAGCTCAGAAAAACCAAACCAAAGCTCCACCTCACAGGCGCCTCGCCCGGCCCAGCTCCCTCTCCAGAACTGCCCTTTGGGCCACTGCGCATCTCTGCATGAGAGTTGGTTGTAGGTTTAGGGCTTCGGTTTCCTGAGTTGTGTTGATCTGGCAACAAGCTGGATAGATGGTTGCTGTGCTGGCCTCAGTTCCAGCTTTAAAAAAAGGGCTTCGGTTTCAACAAGGGCTTAGGGATCAGACCCCAGCCTAGGACCGTTTCAGACCTTGGTCTGGGACGTGTATATGGAAGACGTCTGAGAATTTGCCGTGTTTGCACAAAGTGTGCACCCATGCAGTCTCAGGTTAGAGGGATTCAGGGATCGCTGGCAGATTGACCGCAGCTCTTGGGTCTTTTCATGGAAGTCTGCTGGCGCGGCCGGAACCTGAAACGAGGGTCTCTCAACTTCCCCGACTCCCCGAGAAAACTTCGGCGGGGCTCCAGCTCATTTCCCCGAAATCCATTTAATACAACCTAAAGCAATGGTAAACCCTAAAAAGTGTGAGTCCCAGGTGGGATTGCCTATGCTGCGCTTCTCGGTCAAAGAAAGAGTGCCTGGAGCGGCTTGCATGTTCGAGTAACGCGACATCAATAGCCTAGCTGCTGCCGATGGGGAGGCAAATCGCCCAGTGGTAAACCCCAAGCCCAGCCCTAAACATCCCCAAGCCCTGCAAGCCACTATGAGCCCTATACGGCATAGGCTGTACCGTAAATCCTTTGCAGATGCGTAGCCCCACGGCCGGCGGCAAAGCCCAAGAACAGCCTCGCGTCATTTTATCAAGTGCCGCAGGGTGTAAACCTTATAAACCCTAGACCTCGCAGAAAACCCTAAAGGCCCTAAATGGCTGCGCACTTTCCGTGAGCTACGCGGGTGGCAAAAAACAGAGTATCGCTTGGGATGTTCCCCCTTTTTCTGACAGTCCTTCATGCTAGAGAGGGGGGGGGACTATAATGTTAGATATGTTAGTAAAAGGGGGAACACCCCAAAGCATAGCAGCCCAGCAGCCGAGGCTGCCTTGCACGGCTGACGGGGCCTGCAAGAAGCAGCTGCCGAGCGAAGACATGATGCAGCCGCTTTCCTCGCAATGAGATCCCCTTCCTGTGGCCCTGGTGATAAATCCTAATTTTGGCAAACAAGATGTTTATAAATACTAGTTACTAGTTTTCCGGTCGCTTCAGAAAAAGGCCAGGGGATAGTTGAGATCATCGCCCGCAACTCCTGCCGCGCTGTCCTCACGCCTGCCTAAACCCCTGGCTTCGACGAGGCTCGGCTACAAGACGCAGTGGGGCTCCACTGGCCGCAACGACCTGGGCGTCATCAAAAACCTTGGCCTGGAACCAATGCTGGGTTCAGAGATAGGTGTTGCCATAGATGATAAGGCTGCACATGTTCACAAGTCATCTCCAAAAACCACATATATATAAATTATTATTAGCATGGTTATATATATATATATGTATAAACATGGTCGCTGCAGCTGGTTTTTTCAAAGCACATTGTCAGTTGCATGACAGACGAAGCGCACCACAGGATTTTGATGTATCGCAGCAGCAGCATCATCATCATCATAGATCCACGAAAAGGCAAAAGTTCTCGGTGTCAGGCAGCAACTTGCCATTTGCTGATTTCTTCCTAGGCCCTGACTCAAGCCTCCGTCACTGAACGGGATGGCTGAAGTCTGAGGTCGGGAAATCCGACTTCCTTGAAGCCTAATTCGGCCCCACGCAAACTTGACATGTGGCCAGCCCCAGCCGGCATGGTGCACATGTAGAAGAATGCACCCCCGCGTGGGCACGATGAGGTGCGCGAAAGCTTCGCGAAAGGATATTTTGTTTCTTCAAAGAAGGCATTTTTGGGGATAATGAAGTCTGATCAATCACCAGCTAGAAGTTAGAGGACCTCAACCAGACAGAGGGCTTTCCCATGAGCTGAGCGAAATATGCAATGGTCGAATGGCAGGTCGTCAGAAGAAATCTTAAACTAAGTGTTGACGCCAAGGTGCCAATGCAGTTCGCCTCTACCACTCCTTGGGCTTTGGCCCTGCCACCGACCATGGTACCGAGCTCAGTTTTGGGGGGCTTCTGAGCCAGATTCATCAACAGTCATCATATTGTTGTCCTGCGCGGATGCGATGAATCTTGGGAGTTTCTTCCTCTTGCGCTCTTCGGCTCGCTCTCCCTCTTTCCCTCCTCACTTTCTCTCCCTCTCTGTCTCTGTCTCTCTGTTTCTCTCTGTCTCTCTTAAGCGGATTTACGCGGCACAAGTCTCTTGTCCATCTGTGGGGTTGACACTAAGATCACGTTCTTCCCTTGGCCACAGGTGCATTTCTGGACGAGGCGCTGAAGCAGGGTGCTTTGCTCAGACGTCAATCAGATGTGCCGATGCCGGAGAGGACCAGGCGGTTTCGTACTCCACACCGCACACTGCGGACGCTTAATCGTTTCACTGTGCCCCAAGGTCTCAACGTTATGCCTGGCATTGCAGCTTGGACATGTCTGGAAGCAGCAGAGGGTCCCAAACCTATGTTGGCGAAGCTATGCTTGTCACCAGCGCAAGCGGGAGCACTCGACCAACAGGGATATGCCAAGAAGCAAGAGACCTAGAAAAAAATAAATGCAAGGAAGAAAAGTAAATCTACTCATCTCACGGGCATGTTTGGGCTAGTCCTTGATGAACTTGACTTGCATACATCATTCCGAAATGAAACTGCGCTCCTGCTTTTGAGAGCATCAGCATCGTGAGGAATGCATCGACGCAGACTACATAAGTTGTCGATCAATATCGATCAATGTACACCCGTGCATTGGCACCAGAATTTCGGCAGTAGGGTCCGGGCACAAAGGATTCACAACGAGGACTTAATTTTCAGGATTGCTACAGCTTCTGACTGGCGCAGGTATGCACCTTGATGTTATGGAAAGATACCCCAACTCCCTAAGCCCACCGAAGGCGGCACGCGCCGAACCCTAAGCAGCAGAGTAATCCTACCATGTCGAAGATGAGGATTCCGACCTGGGATTGTACAACTGCACCAACTTCGATTGTTATGAGACTGTGAAGACAGCATCTGGGGCAGCATCAGTTTCTGGTCAAAGCAAAGGTGCACCAATTTGTACGTGAGCCATCGCTAGGAGATCCAAAGAACGTTGAATGTCTGGGCTGGCATGGGCTGTCCTACGGCATTAAATTGCTACATTTGTTGGGTTTAGGGGAGAGACAGGCCGAGAGAGAAAGAACGAAAGAATGAAAGAATGACGCACCCCCTGTGGCGACCCCTTTGCGGGTCAAGCAGGGAGTGGGAGAGCAAGAGAACGAGAGAAGGAGAGAAAGAGAGAAGGAACGAAGCAAAGAAGGAAAATAGGAAAGTAGGAAGGTAGGAAAGTAGGGCGAGTGAAAGCGAGGGAGAGAGCCTAAGCAATGGAGGGCGCCCTCCTGTCCACGCCGATCTCACTCGATGTTTCCCCGAAACCGGGGCGGCAAAGCTGGCCGAGCGGCACACCCAGTGCGTTGGGGGATGAAGACAGGGAAGCGGGGGACCGCAGAGTAGTCAGGGAATGCACGCAACAGGGGCGAGTTACGCATTGGGAACCTTGCTCGAATCAAGCTTCACCGCTAAGCCCCGAAACCCGGGGCGCGCCGACGCGCAGGGCCATTGGCGCCCATACCTCTTTGAAAAGAGGTATGGGCGCCAAAGAAAGCCAAAGAAAGAAAGAAAGAAGGAGGGTGCTTCCGAGGAGGGGGCATGATGTGGCACCAAGGTCATCAAGACTGGCTTCTCCTTGGGATTCGCCAAAGGCACCCGTTTGCAAAGCACTGCGCTTGCTTTCCCAGCCCTCGCATTGTGATAACGAGACCACGACGAGATGCTAGCAGCTAGCAGCAGCTGCATTTGAGAACAGATTGTCATGAGGAAGCCTCGGTAAATTCATGGATTGATTGATTGGCCTGCTTGCCAAAGCTCCACTGCCCTAGCTTCAGGCAAAGAGTGGCACCCGGCTATCCACACCGTGCTCATCATGAACGCCGCTTGGCCAGGGATCTGAGGTGAAGCAGGCACGACACATTTCTTAGACTCCTAGACATGTCTAAGCCACGAAGCAAGCCTTGCTGGAGCGTAGTTGACGACACAGCTTGTTTTGACAGCAGCAGTGTAAACCGATCTCCCTTGCTGTCTGAGCTGTGCTGGGATGGAGCTGCGCTGCGCTGCAGGGCCACAAGTCTTTCCAGGGTTCGCCATGGGTGTTGCGGCAAGGGTTGAAGTTCAAGGAGGAAATACATAATACATAACTCAGAACTCTTCATCTGTGGCTGATAATACGAAATTCACTTCTACCACGCTTGGTGGCATCAGAATGTCTTGGCAAGCCCAGGAGCCCGATTTCTTTGGCAACGACCCCAGGTGTCCAGGCCACGCTCCCTGGTGCGCCTTGGCTCTTCTTTGCGGGCATTTTGGGGGGCTCTGCCCCCCCCGAGGCTCTCTTCTATAGGGGCCATGAAGGCATTCGTTGCGTTGTGCAGAGTCCGACATCTTTACATCTGAGCTTAGCAAGCATCCTGAGTAACTGATGAGTAGAATTAATATCCCCAGGCCGGGTCAAAGCTGTGCTCTCCGGCCTGGATGGCCTCTTGGCAGCCGAGCGCGAGGCGGGCATCCGGCCGGGCCGCTGCTGGGATGCAGACCAGGGAAGTGCGTTTGTTTTATTTCTTGGGGCCTGAAGCAAAAAGCAGGGGTTTAGGGTTTAGAGTTTATAGGGTTTAGGGTTTGGGGTTCAGGGTTGAGGGTTCACAAAGAGGCCTGACAGCAGGAGTAGACAGTGGGAGGCGTGGCCGGTGCCAAGGAGTGAAACTGGCAACGACTTGGTCGTTCAACAACACGGACTCCATCGATGGAGCCTCACCAGCAGACAATTCTCGCCTTGAGCAAGGAGCCCCCTATAGGCAACCTCAAAGCCACCCTGGGTCCTGTAGCAGATGCAGAGGCAAATGCAAGAAATGCCCCGGCTACTTCGGGTTCCAGGACGAGAGGGGGGGGGAGACCCCAAACCCCTAAACCTGAAGCCTCCAGTTTCGCAGAGCCATCACATCCTCACTCTGTCCACCTTAAAGGGGGTCTCAAACCGCCAGATGTATCCAGATTCCTTCAGCGCCTCAACGGATGAGATAGACAGTGGAGTCAGTCTGGGGAAGGCTGGGAGAGGATGAGTTTTTTCAATTCGTCAGAGGCTGGAGTCGTCGCGGCCAGGACATGCTGGCAGCCGTGGCCGACCCGTCCATTGCAAAGTACGTTCCCCATACTCCTGCCACTCGGCCCCCTTTACTCGTCCTGACACTGCGGGCTTTGAGGAGATGCCCGCGAGACACGCAAGATGCACTGAAGCAAACAAGATCTGTGTCCAGGGCTTAACCTCACAAGTCACGGATGGACTGCACAACATACTGTGTTGTTTGCTTCCCGAGGACGGATGCACCGCTACAGTTTGTAAAAGGTTCGGGCTCTTTGATACCTGCCCGCAAGGCGAAAGACCTGTCTGCAGCCTTTGACAAGAGGTCACGCCCTGAGCTCTTGCAGATTGGAGTTGGAGTTCTGAAGTTCAGAGTGGAGGCTTCCAGTTCTATGAAGATGAACACCTCCGTCTTAGAGTGAGGTTCCCAAGCTTGTTTGGGAACTTAAGGCATGTATTGTTTGCTTCCCAAAGCTGTTGGAGCTGATCCTTCCGGCGAGCGCACACCAACTGCTCCCCGAGGTGGATCAACGGCCTCAACGTGCAAGCGCCCTGGGGAAGCTCAGCATATGAAGGGAGCATCATGATCAGGGAGCATCGAATTTGGTTGTGTTGCATTCGAAACATTGCTAGGTAAAGCCCGTCTGGGACATTTGTAGTTACATCCTAACTGTGCTTGCCTTTGGGTTAGTTCTTGATCAAGGAGAAAGGGCTCACTGGCTCGCGCGGGTGTGACAGAGAATCGACATATCTCGAACAATCGATGACGTGAAACGCGTCGCGTGCCCGTTTCAGGGCCTGCAAGCGGCCTCGTGGTCGCATCGGTCTCGTGTTGCACTCGAAGTCGTGCTCCTGCCTGGGTCCGAGACGGTAGCACGTGTCGCGAATACATGACAGGGCCTGTTCTAAGGGATTTGCGCTTCGGGGTCTTGTACTCTCGGTCCCGAGCACATGCTCCTCTTTTTTGGTCATGGATTGGGGGGCATCTTGGAGTGCTTTAGGGGTTTGCGCCATAGTGACATAGAGATACATAGAGTCAAGAAAGAGGGTGTTAAGTTCAAAGGGCCAAGCTGGAGTGTGGGAGCCAGGATTTGTCCACGATGTGATCAGCAAAAACTACGCCCCATTCGGCAACAGGCCAGCGTGTTTCTTTGTTGAGGTTGACCTCGGTGCCCATAAGCCCTGGAAAAGCTTGTGTTGTGGACGAGGACACGGATAGTGCGAAGACGTGGTCACATGCCCTATGACGTGCCCGCTCCCCCCCCATGGCTCATCTTAGCCCTGAAGCTGCGGTCCACCCAGCGATGGATGAGAAAGGCCCAAAGTGGCCCCGCCAAACCTCAAGGCACACCGACCCCAGCTGTTCCCATTGTCAGGTCCTGGTTCATCGGCAGCCCGGTTGCAGTGATGGTGACAATAGGGAGGCAGTCTGGAGGCAGTTGAAGCCCCTCATGGAATTGCAAGAAGTTGTTGCACTTAGACTTGGAGATGATTCAGACTGCTCAACACTGCATTCGCTGCCACTTCGGGTCTAGCAAAGTTGCAAAGCATCAAGCTTCTTATCAAGCTTAGGTGAGTTTGGCGCGCTGAACCAACCACATGCAGCCATCCAGAGCGACGTGCAGGCAAGCCGCAGAAACTGCAGCCTGCAGAAGCATGTGCGCATGAGGCGTTTTGGGTTTCCGTAACATTGTTGCCATCTCGACCTTGCGACTTCGAGATCCTCAAACTTAGCTTGGTTTAAGGTTCAAAAGACGGGTTTCAGCGCAGGCCATGGCAGAGCTGGCCCACAACGCTTCCGATCCCTTTCTTGGCGCAACTGTCTTCCAGCTGCCCGGCTTGTGCTAGCCTTCCCCTTCAAACGGTACCTTCAACCTGGGTTTGGCATAAAGCTGACCCCCAAAATCTGTTCAACATCGCTCAGTAAGGGACTCCGGCTGAGTGGAAATCTACCTGGGGGTTCTGAAAATCACTGATGGGTGAGCTATCGGCTCTGGTAGTCCTCAGCCAGAACACCCAGCCTCGAACCGCTCATCTCCCAGCTCGGTGTCTAGTGGCCATCTGGAGTATGGGCTCTCTCTTTGTTGTAATATAGTATTCCCAGGCAATATTTAGGGAATATTCCATATATATATACATATATATACAGTATAAGGGCCATGTGTTTAGTTCAGGGCAGTTCAGGGTATCAAGAAGTGTCCGCAAGTTTGGTCAACCCCCAATCTCAGGGGCTTGGTCCTGTCCTGATGATGCAGTCGACCTCGGCTCCTTTTTGATCCGGTCCCTGCAGCCCGACATGGGGGGTTTCTGACCTTTGCTATAAGGGAATCCTACTATTTGGATTAGGGGCTGCTGATTTTCGTAAATCCCAAAATCCTGCAGCTTACAAGCCTGAACCCCGTAACATGACCTGTGAGACCCGAGACCGTGCCTGTGAGTCTAAACCTTCAGACAACTACTCCCGCTCAGGTCTGCCTGTGTGAGAGTCGAAAGCCTACAACAGCCCGTAAACCCGAAACCCGAAACCCGAAGCCCAAACCCTCAAACCCCAGCCATGGGCCGCTTGGCTGCTGCCTTCGAGCTCCTGGGCCTCGGGCACCGTAGCGCCACAAGCTTCTCGGCTGAGCGTCCAGCGGGAATGTGCTACGCATGTGGATCACGCAGATTGCTAACGAGAATGGCCGAAGGTTTGCTGTACTTGATTGAGGTCGATGGTGTTTGAGGGCATTTCCTTCAGTTTCTCCTGCAGTTCTTGAGACGAATTCCGTCGTGCCAGCTGACATCAAGAGGCTGTTCCAAAACATGGATTCACGAAAGGTCCACGGTTCACAACACACGAAGGGGAGAGGAAGTGGTTCCTTCCATGCCATGCGTCTTGAGTCGGCATGCTGCAGCTGCCCGAGCCAAGATCACGACAAATCACGAAAGACGCCTCACATGGGATCTCTCCGGCCTTTGTCTTCAACTCTATCCTAAGATGTTCATCCCAAGTACAATGACGAAGCGCAAGTCCGAGCTGCCGACGACTGCAGGCTTTTTGTCCGACGCAGATCATGCGGATGAAGAAAACTTCGAAGAGCTCGAAGCCGGTGACAGGCAGGGCTAACCCTGAACCCTGCATCGTAGGCATCTTAGGCGTCTTAGGCCCTTACGCGGAGTCAAGAGCTTTCCCATGACCAAGGGGATTTTAGGGGACCTGCCTTTGCCGAGTCTAGCTTTCTTTCTCAATCTTCGACTCAAGACCTCCATTGGCTTTGGAGATGCCAGTGCTATATATGCATGGTAGGACAGCTGAATCTTTGCGCTGCAGGCCCGATGCTGGGAGCTATGACTACTGGCAGAAGCGCGCTGCCACGTATGACCAGGACAGCTCGTGAAGATGATGCAAGGGCGTCGAGCTTACTGGCAGTGCGTGATCATGCATGTAACTCGCAGGACATCTTCCGGTCCAGTGACGAGGACCATGAGGCTTTGCATCTTGCCGTGGCATAAATCGAAACATGCAGCCAAGGCCTTGGGCGCTTTCGCTGGTCGCATGGAGGCTTAAAAAAAACATAGATCTGTCGGAAGCAGCACCCTTGGCTGTGTCCGAACTGAGGACCTCGACTTCCCAAACCCACGAACGCTTGGTAAAACAAGGTGAACTCTTCATGGGGAAAGTCCTCCCAACCCAAGAAGCATCTCATTCCCCGCCAAGCACCCTACAAAACCTGCACCAGGGCCTCATCCACGGCGAGATTGATGCCGCGGCGCAAAGAGCGGAGCACGGGCGCCGGCTCGGCAAAGGCCGGATATAGCTACTGCACGGTGACCCCTTCTGTACTCAATGGTATCATGCGTATGCGCATACGTATGATATGACACTATGCAATATAGTAAATTATGGCGTACTGTGCTGAGTTGCATGACATTAAAGTATACATTCAAAACAAGAGCATATGGAGAGAGAGAGAGAGAGAGAGCATCGTGCTTGTTTCTCTGACCGGTCACTTGTGCCATCATTTCGGCATCGTGCTTTATGAACGATATACGATGGCGCGACACATGGCACTTACATGGGCGTCGTGCCCCACAACACGGGCTCATGGTTTTCTGCTGTGCTGTTATTTGTTATCTCAGACCTCTTGGTAGCTTTCCCCGCCCCCCTGGCTTGAGTCCCTTTACCGTTTGATAACATTGCGGACTTTTCTGAGTTCAGCTCGCGCATGCAAGAGCGAGCCTTCCCCTGCATCATGGCCAGCGAAAGCAGACCATCTGCCCAGGAAAGATGTATCTGCTTGAGAACTATCATCGGACAAACTGGGGACAGAGAACCTCAAGACAGGGATGCAACTCTTAAATGCACTAGTGGCGCAAGCACCAATTGCCAGTATACCGCATACACCTGAAGACAAGGCTTTGGTTTGTTGTACCTAGAGAGTAGTGAAGTGTTGGGTTCTAGTTCGGTTTACCCTAGGCTTGTTGCTCTGCAGGCCACGATGAAGGCACAGCTGCTTCCAAGCTCGTGGCCGTGGATGCTGGTTGCGGACCAGGTTGCCAACGGGCTTGGGAGTCAGAGTTGGTTGCGGGGGCTGAAATCCTCGAGGGTTTAGGCTTGAGGGTTCAAGCTTGATCTGCTTCCCATGCTGAACTGTATCGGCCAACCAATAGCTGGTTGCCTGACTCAGACCGGAAGCAAACTAATGCCCCCAGCTTGCAGCGAACCATGTTTTAACCACTTGAGCAGACCTGGGTCCCTTCATGCATCCTCATGTCAAGCTATCTGTATGCAGGCCTTTGGCTGGATGCCCTTAGCAAGCGCTTTGGCCGTGTAGTGGGCCTGGATCAGTCGCCTAACCTGCTGGACAAGGCCAGGTTCAGCTTTGTAGTGGCAAGAGGTGAACATCAGTGAGCAGCAGAACTTGTACAGTAGGATGGACGCTCTCTAGTCACACTAGTCTCCGGTTCAGTGATTCATCTTCTAATGTCTTGTCTGTAGATGATGGCGCCCATGTTGCGATTGCCCGGTAAATGGCTGACTTCTCACCGTCTTGAAGCTGGGCAACTTCGCAGATGGTGTGGCCAGCTGTTTATTCAGACTGCGGTTGCACGAGTAGTGGTGCAGCATGCTATTCAATGTTGCATTGGTCGAGAGTCACGTGCGGGCATTGGTGCCTGGCACCGCAAACATCGGCCTTGCTGGCGACAGCTCCAATCCACCATGTGGGTAGTTTCCCAAATTTTGTGGTCCCTTTTGGGGATCCTTTTGTAAAGGGACCCTGATATACCTGATAATAATGGGCACCCACAAAGGGACTATATTTTAGGAAACTACCCATCTTTACTCCCGCTAGTGCTGACTGCAGGCCAAGGAGGACAAGGAGGAGTTGCTTCACAGCAAGCACGCCAAGGTGGGGTACAGCCCAAGTACAGCATGCTTCTCAACTGTCGGTTATGAGGGTTATGAGGGCCAGTAGATGGGGTGTTAGGGACTAGTGAGTAGTGAGATGGGTTAGGGGAGGATGGAGCCCCGAGCCTCTGACGGATAGAGTACGGAAGATCATCTAGATTACTGTACTGCATACTACAGAGGATGGGATCTCAAGGCTCATAAACCCCAATTTCAACCTCTAAATCAAATCCATCCCACACCCCAACAAAACCCCAAGATCCACGGTGCTCTTTCAGCACTTCGCTGCGCCCTTCATAGTGCTTGAGCCATGCACATCGGCATGGTACACTTCTCGATTTGTGTCCTCGATTTGTGTCGTTATCCTGTGCGCAGGGGCCATGCTAATCTGTCCATGAGCAACACTCCTCCTTACGAGTAACCTTCAAGGACGCTCTTGGAGGATGCTCGTACATTGCCCCGCGCACGCACAAAAACATGCAGCCATCGTGAATCCTGCTGGGTCCTCAGATTACACGGAAATTAATTCGAGAAACTCATAGGAACATGCCAAAATGGCAAGCACAGCTGTCCCTGATGCAGCTCCATGTTCCAGTCTACTCGCTGCCGGCCGGTCTTACGCCTGCCATCTCTCGCAGCTGCTTCAAACGCGTCTTGGGAAGGATTTTTGTAAGTAAATCGGCGACAAGAAACTGTCCCGGAGTGTGACGTATCGGGATTCTTTCGAGATGCAATTGATCACGGCACCAACTGCAACGCAAAGCGAATGCTCGGGTTCGCCACTTTCCAAAATCCATCTTCTCTTGCCCTGCCAGAATGATCGATGCACTATTGTCCCCAGTTAAACATCCCTGAAGGTCTTTGTGCAACAAATCTTTCAAAACATAGAGAATACGGATTCCCTGTGAAAGCGCTTCTGCCAAACCATCAGTTTCAGCTTCGCATACTGACCAGGCTGTCACTGTTTGTCGTGTTGAATACCAGTGAATCACACTCCCAGCGTACTGTATGCATCCGCCAGAACGACTTCGCGATGCCTCGGGCGCAAACGAGGCGTCTGACGCGAACGTCAGCTCGTTGCCATCGCCCTCGGGCCCATAAAACAACGTCTCATGAAGAGTGCCACGCAAGTATCTCCATAGGCCAGTCTCACAGCTGCAGGTCTCCGATGCATCATTGAAGCTCCCATAGACACTGCAGCCAGCAAATCTGGTCGGCTGCGAACGCCGACCCAGAGTAATGCGCCGATCTCCGACCTAGCCTCGGCAAGTGCGCGGGCATGCTGCTCATCGACCTCTTCGGCGTCACCCATCTCAAGTTGGGGCAAAGCTTGGGTCCCTCGCAAGTGGATCCAACCACGCCTGTTAATTTCTTGAAGAATCCACCGTCTCTGACTCAGCTGCACACCACCCTCGTGAAAGGAGATTTCCAGACCCAAGAATGTCAAGCTCGTCTTCCGTGACATGGAAACTCCTTGACATGACAGAGTAGTTCCCAAGTCTCGCGCCAAAAAACCTTGAAGCTTAGTGCGCCACTGCGAGCACACATAGGATAAGAAAGCCTCTACGACACTTGCCTGACCAACGACAAGACAGTCATCGACGTACATTGTAGCAATGCCGACCAACTTGTCCTGGCAAACCAGCTTCCAAACCCCATCGCTCACCCGGATGCATGAGATATCCTGTCCTTTGTGGTTCTTCAGCTTTGCCTTGGCAATCACTTCGTCGCGATGCTTACTCCAGTCAGCCGGTGATCGTTTCAGGCCATAAATTGCCCGCACCGGTGCATAGACTGTATCTGAGGCCAACAAACCAAGCTTCTTGAGAATTCCCGGAGGCTCCAAGAGGATTAATTCGTTTCCCCCCAGGGGGGTATTCAAGAACGCGGCCGACACGTCCCCGGCCCCCATCACCCAATCTGGATGCAGTGCAGTCTCCTTTGCCATGGTTCTCAGCACATACATGTCCACGTTGTTTGTGCTGAGATCTTCCGGAACATCTTTTGGGTTCTGATGGTTTCCGCATGCCACCAGTCTCACTTTTGGCTCATCCGTCATGTTGGTTCCAGGGTCGTTCACAGGCTTCAGCGTATTGACGAGCTGCGTTGGAATTGGCCTTGGCAGTACAACATCAGGACTTAATCCAAGATCTTCGTGAAGATGGTTCTTCCTCACCTCAATCCAGACTTTCTGGTGCACCGTCATGTTGTCCAGCTCCCGCTTCGCAGCCTCCATCCACGCCTCTCGTCTGGGCCCATAGAAAACTTCATTTCCCACAGACTCAGCACTTGCCTTAAACCCTTTCAGCTCCTGAGCCAATCTTTCTTGTTCATTCATGTCTGCTTCTTCGTCGTGCCCCAAGACTTGATATCCATTCGGCTCCACGATGCTCTTCTCCAGGTACTTCTGGTAGCAGGCTTGCGCAGACTTTCCGCACACCATGCATTTCTTATGACTCAACCACTCATGCTTCGCCAGCGGTAGATCTGCAGCGGTCACCTTGCTCGCTCGAGGATGGTCATCGGCTCGTGCAGCTTCCTGGAAAAAGTCGAATCCACTTATATCTCCAGGGCCTCCTTCGCGTTCTTCGAGAGAAACCAACCCCACATCTATTTCCAGATCCCGGACAAGGTCGGCATCCTTGATGTCTCCGTGACTCGACACCCACACCAAATCTCCTGACGGAGTGCTGTGAGTGCGCCACTCCTTTCTCGGAGCAGATAACTTTGCCGGAAGTCTGGCTTTCATAACTGCATCCTGGCCATTTCGTTGCACCAGACACAGGGCTCCCTTGCTTGTTGCTTCATCCCTGCAAAGAAAAACGGCCTGAGTCACCTTTGGCTCGAAAGGTTCACCCTGGACTCGATTGACCACCACTGTCGAACCTGTGATAGGCTGTCCTTTGGCCACTCTCAAGCCCAAAGCTTCCTCCCGCTGCACGATCGAAGCTTCTACCATGGCGTAGGGCCAGAGTCTCACCCCAGCGCCAGATTCAAGCAAACTTCGCAGAGCCCTCTGTTTCAAGTCTCGAATCGCCCGCTCAGCCTTTCCGTTTTGTTGTGGATTATAAGGGACCGTTACGGTCTTGTATATGCCTGCTGCACCCAGCTCTTGCACCAACAGCTCTGAGATGAGTTCCCGCCCATTATCTGAATGGAACCTCACAACAGGGGGCACTGCTCCTGCCATAGCTCCAATTTGGCTGATGATCTCCTTGATGGCAGCCACCACATTCATCTTTTGTCTAGTTCGTAGCGGGCGAGTGAAATACAGCGAGCCATTTTCGGGAGTTGCAAGTGCACAAACCACCATGTACTTGAATCCAAAAAGACCATGCTTGTAGGGCCCCGCAATGTCTACACTGAGGCAGCCTTGCGCAAAATCATCAGGTTTCAAGCGTCTATGAGGCTTCAACGTTCCGCGAGTTTGATAATCTTTTAGACTGTGGCCAGGAGGTCGCTTATGAGCATACTCTTCACCTGAACCCAGAGGTCCAACATCTTCTTTCGGCTCCTCCTGAAGTTCCAATGAAGGTTCAAACTCTACGCCCTCCTGAATCCCATCTTGCGCAGCAGGATCTGACCATGGATGTTCCAAGAGGCCATCGTGGTCCTCGGCCAACAACCGCTCATCAACACTTTCACGCTCCCAGTCAACAATCTCAAAAGCCATGGCGCGTCCATCATCGTCGGACTGCTCTGCTGCTACTCCCTGAACGCCCTGAACCTGAGAATTCCCTTGAACGTCCTGAAAACACTGACCAATGCCTGAGCTCCCTGAACATCCCTGAGGTTGGGGTATAGGAATTGTCGGCTCAGTGGTTGGGTGTATGCTCTCAGTGGCTTCGGTGTTGATGCTGGTGTTTCTGCTGTTGGTGATGCTTATGCTGCTGCTCTGCTGAAGCTCCAAAGCAAGTGGAAAGCCCATCTTCTCTAGACATTTCAGCTCATCCGTGGTTGCTCTGCTGGCTCCTCGTGGGGTATACGCAGTAAGAGTCGTCCTCTCACCGCTCCAACTGCATGATCCATGCCACACAAACGGGGAAAAGGTCACCGGAGTCCGGCGTATGTTCCACGTCCTACCCGCAACTTCTTTTCCAGGTCGAACTTGTCGTACATCCGGTCCATCAGGCTCTGCCACCCATATTTCGCCCCCCTGACCTTGATGAGAGTCATTCAGGCACACTATGGTGTTCTTTGATCCCCGCATGTTCTGGCTGTCGCGGTGAGGTCGAAAAACCACATTCCTGGCGAGGACGACACTGGTGAAAGCAGAGTTGTTCTCCAGATTTGACATCAATGCACATAGCACCTTCGTCAAGAATGGTCGCCTTGTACACATTTGCGTCAAACCGTGGCATCCACCATGTGACCACAACCCGAAAGTCCACAAGTGAATCAACTCCACTCCCTCAGCTCCGCCGATGACCTTCCTGCGTTTTTTCTGAGGCTTCAGGTTCGATTTGTCCAAAAGAGTCAATACGCTTTCGCAAGTGATTTCCTTTCTGCCCTTGTTCCATAACTCTGCCGCTGCCTTCTCGTCCATCTGCAGCTCATCCTCCAGAGTCACCACCTTCTCAGCCATACGCTCCTCCTCAACCTTGACATGATCCTTCTGGCTAAGAATGACCGCCTTATGGACTTCTGTGCGATGGGTCTCCTCCTGGGCTGTGTAAGCTATGCAACCTCTTTTCGCACGCTTCCAATGTTGTGTTATCATAGGGCGTAACATCTTATACGCACTCCAGGGCAAATAGGGCAGTCCATTGATCACCTTCAGCTCAAACCACTCGCCTCCAAGCTGAGGTGGAAACTGAAGCCATGCTCCTGTCTCTCTCCAAACAAAAGCGCACCCCACTTCTGTCAGCTTGCATATGCCACAGATCACCGACCCCGTCTCTGGGTTGCCCTCGACCAGGATCTCCCCATCTCGATTCCGCCATGCCTCAACCAAGCTTCCATCCGCTAGTTGAAGAGGTGTTCGAATCGCTCGCTGAGGAACATGATCTTGTCCTGACCTGACCGCTTCATTCGCCCCACTGTCAAGCAAAACTTCTGATCCACTATGTCCCTTGGCGACACTCATACTGGCTCGCGAACCTCCATCTGTTCCAGACTCTAGCCCACGCCTCGTAGTTGCTGGTGCTATTGCGCTACTGCTGCTGCTCGTCGTCTGGCCCAGCGCAACTTCCGGCCATCCGGGTCGAAAGCTGGACTCAACCACAGCGATGAAGGTCTCAGTGTCCTCCTCAAGATCCATGAGCCATACGATGTATCCTGGCCTCACCACTTGGTCCTCACACATGATCAACAAATCATGAGCTTCCACAATTCTCTGCGTTTCACTGATGTCGAAGTCATAGATCGGAAAAACCTCATCTTGTCTCTCTAAGAAAAATGAAACACCCACTGCCACCTCGAACGGGCTCGTCACTCCTCTAAAGGGTCGGCGAGCTCGAGATTGTATGTGACCCGTGCTGCTCCATGTGGAGAACTCATCTGGGTCCAAGTGAACCCACCATAGTGGTTGCCGCTGTCGTCTTACCCTCGCAGCTTCTGCGATGGCCTCTCCTAGTTCATCGATGAAGTCAATCGGGATTCAGGAGTTGGTGTCGAAGCCGAAGTGGTCAACGTTTCAACCGAAACTACTGATTCTTCCTCGGAAGTCTCAGGGCTTACCCTGCGCGCCATGCCTGCAAAAGAAATTGCTGAAGCTTTCGGAGGTGGTGAGGTCCTGCTACTTGTGCCCACCAAACCAGCCGCTTCTTGTTCTGCCTTTGCACCCTTGGCGATATCCTTCCTGAACTTCTCGTCATGGCTATACATGCAGTTCTTTCGGTAACAACCAGCTGGAGTAAAGAAAAACCGACACGGCTTGTCCTTCTTCGTATCATGAGCCTTTGAAGAATTCGTAGGCTGCGGATCCTGTCCTTTTCCAAGAGGTCCTTTTCCTTGGTTCCCTTTTGCCTCCTTTCCTTTTCCTTTGGTCTCCTTTCCTTTCTCCTTGCCTTTTCCTTTTCCTCTTTCCTTTCCTTTTCCTTTCGATGCCACACTGTCGCCTGCTCCGCCACCGCGCTTGTTGTTCTTGATGGTCTCGTCAGCAGCAAGGATCTGCAGCTGTTGTTCTATTAGACTGATCATGGCTTCCACACCTTGCGGATTCGGATGAAGAACGTCAGGTTGGACTCGTAGCAAGCCCATGAGAGTCTTGAAAGATTCAGATCGTCGTTCCACGTTGCGAATCAGAGAGCTCAAGGCTTGCACTTCTTCAAACGAGGCTACGGCGGGCAGCTGCAAGTCGCGCGCCCGGGTGCGAGCTAGCTTCCACCTCCTCAGAGTTTCCAGCCCCTCCTTTGCCGAGTGAGCCGGATCGAGATGCCTGACAAAGGCCTGGATGCTCTTCATCTCCTGCTGTCCTCCAGGCATCTGTTCCTGAAAGATACACTCCAGAAGGTGCACTCCCCGAAGCTTTGACGATCCCGTCTTTTCCAACACTGGCTGCTTAACTTCCTGTGGCAGACACCGTATCAAGGTAAGCGTCAAACGATTCTCGTATTCCTGGTGCTTTGGCAGTACTGGAGTCAAATCAGGCAAGTTGTACTGCCCCGCCAGTCGCTTCTGATGTCGTTGTTCCGCCGCCGCATACTCCGCCTGCACGTACGCCCCGAAACCAGGACTTACCGTAGTTGAAATCGTTTGGAACTGCAACCACCATGCCTGAAGTCGCATGTTGCACTCCCACGCTTCTCCTCCTCCCACCGAAAAAGAAGGAATATCCATCAAGACTTTCCATCTTCCATGCGGCACTGCTTCCGCCATGGATCCCTCTGTCTCAGTGGATCTATGCTCAGCTGCCTGCTTGGAGTACTGCGGGGGAAGTCCTGGAGGTTCAGTCCACTGCCATGTCCAGGCATCGTCCTGACCATAGTCAGTCCACTCACCGGCTTTCCCAGCTTCTCCTCCTGTGCCCCACCAAGCATCCTCAGCTGCTGCCAAATCGGTCGGCATGTCAGGAGACATCTCATGCACTGATGGTCCGTCTCGCTGGCTGATATCTTGAAGCTCTTCCCGAAGTTGCTCCAGGCATTGCCCCGTTCGCTCTGCATGTTGTTCACCTGCCCGCATAGCCTCCTCAGACTGATCAGCCACTGCCTCCACACGTTGAGTCAGCGTTGCCAGTTCTGCATCCACACGAGCACTGACCTGGTCCGTAGTCAGCAAGATTTGGTCCATCCTCTCTCTGAGCATACGTACCAAGGTTTCGTTTGAGCTGCCATCTTCCGCTTCCTGAGTTGCCTTTGCAAGCATTCGTTCAAGATCTGCAGAATTGGATTGTGTCCGGCGTGCTTGGCCTTCAAGAGTATCCACCCTTTCCTCCAAGTGCCTCGCCAGTTCGCTGAACTTCCCATCCAGCTGCTCCATCGTTGCGGCCATTACAGCCCCTGTTTGCATGATTGTGGAATTCTCAAGTGCATGTACCCGGGAATCAAGAGTTCCATTGATGCTGTGTTGTTCCTCCAACCTTTGTCTTATCACCCGCGATTGTTCAGCAGATTGCTCTCGGAGTTGCTCCATAAAAATCTGCTGCTCGTGCAATGCGCCTGCCATCTGTTCCACACGAGCCTCAAGGATCTTGCAACCCTCCTGAAGCGTTTGCGTGCTACTGGAAACATCTTGCAACATAGCCCCAAGCAAACTTGTGCGATGCTGGATACGAGAAGAAAGTTCCACCACGGCTGCCTGTACGTCCCCCAAAATGTCCTGATCCAAGTGGATAGCGGCCTCGAGTTCACGAATGCTCTCCATTGGTAATGCAACTTGTGTAAGAGATCGTAGTGTCATGGTGTCTCCTTCCATCCTCATCTCTGCTGTTGGTGCTGCAGCTGTTGTGGGGGTGAAGAGGTTGGGGTGGAAGTTAAGGGGTCGTTTGGGCTCATAACCTGTCGGTTATGAGGGTTATGAGGGCCAGTAGATGGGGTCTTAGGGACTAGTGAGTAGTGAGATGGGTTAGGGGAGGATGGAGCCCCGAGCCTCTGACGGATAGAGTACGGAAGATCATCTAGATTACTGTACTGCATACTACAGAGGATGGGATCTCAAGGCTCATAAACCCCAATTTCAACCTCTAAATCAAATCCATCCCACACCCCAACAAAACCCCAAGATCCACTGTGCTCTTTCAGCACTTCGCTGCGCCCTTCATAGTGCTTGAGCCATGCACATCGGCATGGTACACTTCTCGATTTGTGTCCTCGATTTGTGTCGTTATCCTGTGCGCAGGGGCCATGCTAATCTGTCCATGAGCAACATCAACCTTTGCTTCAGTACTTGCACCAAGAGGTCTTGCAGTCTTGCAAGCACTCAAATCCCAAAGCCAAAGTGATTGTAGGGCTGGAGCGGAAGCACAGCCCGCTGACCCTTTTGCGTATTGTACATGGCCGTGACACCAAAGTAGACAAACAAGCGACTGCCCACGGCTCATCGCTCCATGGATAGTTTGGGAGGAAAGCATCGGTGCATTTCACCATGCGAGACAGTATGAACGAAACCCCGACAGACCCTGTGAAGGGAACCTTCAACAAGCACCTTCTTCATTGAAATACAGTGCTGTGATCTTGAAGGGGTTCTGCAGGTGCTGCAAGTGTTATATTGACTATTATGTTAGGTCTTTACGGGTCTTTACTATGGGTTTTGGTGAGTGTATACTTTGGGATACTGGCAACGGGCAGCCTGGAGCTTAAGTGTTGCGACAGGAACAGGTCGCAGTTGTCCCTTGTGAGTGTTTGAGTCCGGTGGGTGTCAAGGGGAAGACTTGGCAAGTGTGTGTGTGTGTGTCTCTGTGTCTCTGTGTCTCTGTGCCTCCGTGCCTCTGTGCCTCTGTGCCTCTGTGCCTCTGTGTCTCTGTGTCTCTGTGTCTTTGGTGCAGTTTAAATGGGCAGCTTTCACCGCTGGAGGTGGAGTTACATCCCGCCGTGGATCTGGGCCAGCCCTGTGCCCGAGAGTATGCGCCTGATGGCCAGGAGGGGCTTATTCCGTGATTCGCATGAAGAGCTGTCCCGCGCTCAGCAATGAAGTTTACAACTTTCCAAGCTTTTGCGGAACCCCTGCTCCTTTGTGGTGTTGCTGCGCGGGGGTGTGGTTTGTGGGGGTGGGGGGTGCGGGGGTATTTGGAGGAACTCTGTGGGCCCTCGGTGCCCGGCACTGCGCACTCCGCCGACCTCGTGGCCAGCTTTAACGTGCTCCTGTCTCCGCTGCCTGGCAGAGGTGGACGTTGTGAGGGCATTGGGGCTTGGGGTGAAGGGGAAGGTCGAAGTCGTACTCTCACTAAGTCACTAAGGTTCCGAGAGCCGGCTTTTGAAACCTTGAGCTTCAAGCCCCACACGCCCTGAAGGGTCTGATTTTGAAATTTCAGCGGCAGGGTTGAAGCATAAAGGGCTTCAGTACTGAGAGCCCTGGGGCTGAGGATTTTTGAAAGAAGGGTTGCGACGTTTTGACTGCGCTTGTAGGGCGACGAGAGCCGAGATTTCGACCCAATATGGAAGGCCACTCCTCCTACACATGTTTACATCACCACTAACGATGTCAACCAAGCACTGTGAATACGGATATTGCTTGTTTTCGCATAAGAGTAGAGGCCAGCAACGAGCCGCGAAGCCACTGCGATCAATGGATGCGATGCACAGTTGTGGGAGTCGTCAAGTTGCCGGGGGAACCCCCAGAAGGAACTTGTTTGGATATCCACAGGATCTCTGGATATTGCAATAGACCCCCAAAAAAATCCAAGAAATGGCATAGTTGCTGAGGTTGCTTCTGCTGTAATCACGCAAAATGAAGCTTGGGAGGCTCAATGGGGTTTATAGTCTGACGAGAAGGGGTTGAAGCTCCTAGATCCCATGCAATGGGCATGTGCTTGGAAAACCACAAAAACATTGATGGGGGCAGCCGGCGCAGCAATTCTGCTCAATATGATTCGTATGAATATCTCTTTCTGGAGATCGACGCGGTTTAGGGTTTAGGGTTGAATTAACGGGTTTAGGGTTTAGGGTTTATAGGGTCTATAGGGTTGATAGGGTTTATACGGTTTATAGGTTTAGGGTTTATAGGGTTTATATATAGGGTTTATATCGGGTTTATAGGGTTTATAGGTTTTTATAGGGTTTATATAGGGTTTATATAGGGTTTATAGGGTTTAGGGTTTCGGGTGAAAGTGCTTAGGGTTTATAAGTTGTAAGTCAGTCTTGAAAGTGATAAGGGAGTATAGGGTTAAAAACTGTTTTGGTGTCAGTTTTGAGCCCAGCAGACCATATGCTACACAGCTACCGACAGGGGCAAGTGGAATCCAAAAAAAGCCGTGAAAACCCCAAAAAAACCCAGAAAAAACCCAAAAAAAGGCAGACTCCAAAAACACAGGGCAAACCCAAAAAAAAGCGTAAAGCGTAGCAACTCCGTAAAAACCCGTGCGATCCCCAAAAAAAGGCGTGCAAAACCCGTAACCGAAATCCAAAAAAACCCGAAAAAACTCCAAAAAATGCCGTGCACCCGACGCCGAAAAATCTTACCATTCTGAGCTCAAGTTTTGTGTCTCACCGCTCTTTGGGAGATGAACCCGCCCGCCACGGCTTTGAATTCCGCCCTCAGTGAACTTTACACGTCGGACATGTGGCTTCCGTCAGAGCAGGCATCCAGAGTTGCACAGCTCGGTCTTCATTTTCTCAGGCCTTCGTCACCTAACAAGAATACTTTGGATGCAAAACTTGCCGTGCCACGGTTTGCATTGTTCCCAAAGCACCATATGGTGTTTCATGCACTCCAGGGCTTGCTTTTTGCATCAATACAGTTTCAATCCTGTCTGTGAGGACAGGACGAGGATTTTGTAGGGCGAATCAGCCGTGCAACGAGGAGGGCGGAACTCGTGCTGTGATATCAGCCTCGCTTCGGCGGTATTTGGTACGTTGCCACGCCGTTTGGAGGCATGAGCTGTATTAGGCGACGGCAAGAGATGGAAAGAGTCTGAACGTTTGCATTTACACCTAGGTGTGTGAATTCCTAGATTTTTCCAGAATCTCTAGGTTTTTACCAATGGTTTGGCTTTTGGTGAAATATCTGGGTTTTTAGGCTTACTCTGAGAAATTCTCGACCCAGGGCTCCCCTGGTGGCGGTGGTGGTGGTAATGATGGTGGAGCTGATGTGGTGCTCGCTAATCCTGAAGCCCCTCATGCAATCCAGGCGCGGCGATTCGTCCAGCAGGGTCACGAACGCTGGCCGGTAGGCTTATACGTGCCCCCCCCACCTCGAAAAATTCCGCAGCCTCTCCCGGCCAAGGAACAAGCAGGCCAGAGAGCAGCTCGGCGACCCAATCGTGGTAGTATAATCCCCTCCCCCTTATTCTCACCCCCCCCCCCCCCTTCCCCCTAATATCAAACACTCTCCAGTACGGCTACATTACAGTATGTGGGGGGGGATTTAGTATTCCAGGGCAAGGGGGGAGGGTTTAATCTTCCAGGGAGGGGATTACTGCTTCCCGAGGAGTCCCGAAGTGTTTTTGGGTGCTTCGGGGTGCCTGATCTCCCGACTCCAGGAACATCCTGCGGCGAGAGGTGGAGATGCTGCGGCCAGACACTTTGGCCGCAAACACAAAAACATATCGTGTTGCCATCCGAGATGCACAGATGGCTACAAGAAAGCGTTCCAGTCGCCCTCCCAAAAAGCTTAGCCGGTCTTCTCACATCATAGCCCACCATCTTAAGGTTGGGTGCTGGGGGGCCACCTAGCTAGGCACCTGGCTCCACACTGCTGCTCCTCGTGCCCAGTGCGGAGTCGTACCGCTCTGTTCGCAAGCTGTACCGCAAGCTAGGCGGGCATGTCAGTTCAGTGTCGCTCAAGCTGCATGTTGGGCGCCGTATAGAAAATCAACAAAGTCTCTGTCGTCGAAAACGGCCGGCCGAGTGTTTGGTCACCAGGTGGAGTTGAGAGTGGCTTGGGCCGATACGTGGACTACTTGGACGATCACCCAGATGAGGAGGCTGACAACGTGTTTCGAGTCTTCGCGCTCACGAAGCACTACACCAAGAAGGAGCCGGGCGAGCGCTTGTCCATGAGATTCCACGAGCATGTTCCGATTTAAAGCCTGCAGCAATATCCCCTTCAAGAGTCTGTACTACGCCTTCCTTGCATTCACTAGGTTGCTTCGATTCGTGAGGGGGTGCAATGCATGGTGAAGCCCAAGGTGAGGCAAACTTTGTGCAGTGAGAAGCACGACAATCGCTAGACTTCCTTCAGGAAGCCTGCTCCATGGTGGAGGCGGCCGGGCTCGAGTGTGACAAGGTCTTAAGCTGCGTGGTCGCACAGACGCAGGGCAGCTGGGAGAGGGCGAGAGAGCTGCGACATGCGAGCTCTGCCTCTAGCAGAGCAGGTAGTCAGTTCTTGAGAACCGTGTGCTTGGGGCACTATCCTAGGCTTCCCGATGCGCTGGCGATTCGTCTTCCCCTTCGCATCAGATGAGGTGGTGACTGAGTTGCGTCAAGACATCTCTGTCCCCTTGATATCCTGAGTTTCTTCAGCAGCCCACAACCTCAAAGTGGAGACAGAGCTATCATGAACCCTCGGTCGGGCTTTTCGGCTATTTCCTTCCCTCAACCTATTAAACCAAAAACCCTTCAAGCCGGACGTCTGGGTTGCAGCTTGCCAAGCTGCATGTTCTCGTGCCAGGCTTACGACACATTAGCCAAGCAGCCCCCCGCACATGAGCTCTTCAGCTGGACTTAATCATCAGAACTGTGTCTCTCGCTCCATGCATTCATGCGCGTCTGTGGATCACGAACAACGGGTGCCTGCTTTGGAGCTGCTGCATGAAGCTGCCTGCATGCATGAGTACAATGTGATCCCAGGTGGATTGTCGTGGCTCATCCCAAGGCCGCACTTTGAAAGATCTGCCTCGGAGTTATGTTGAATCAGGTTGGTAGGCCAGCGCATTCATGCTTGTTGCCTGCTCACTCTGGATCGGAAGCTTTGAGATGTTGACACATGTTGTCGGCCGTGCTTTCCGAAGTACGAACCCTGCGTAGCACCTCAACTTCATTTCAGTTTGCCGCTGTCTCGTATGATGGGGCGAGGAGGGGGGGGGGGGGGGGGGGGGGGGCGCCCTGACGACCCGATGCTGTATTGGCGACCAAATTCAGACCCCGATTTTAGGATCTGGTCTGGTAATCCCTTCCCCGCTGATATTAAACCCCTCTATACCCTCTAATATTAAATACCGCCCACCCCCCCCCCACCCCCGCAGTATGGTTACTTTATAGTTTTTGGGATTAGGGCCTGGCCCCACAAACCGACATGATCCTGCAACCGCATTCTCACATGCGAGAGGTGGGGGCTGCTGGTGGATCCCTGTGGTCAAGGGCACGTTCAGACTTCCTTTGAAGGAGAGCTCCTGAAAGCATGTAGGGCCGATGCAGGTATTTGAGCTCTTGCGCCCTGCCCCTGCCATTTTTTTGCGCATGGAGCGCGCAAGAGCTTGAGACAAGGCTATCTGCTCGTGTCTGCAAGGGGCGACCTTGCGTCAGTTCTTCACTGCTGGTAATTTCCACGACGACCCGACATAGTCAGTCTTGATGGCCCTCCACAATCACGGGCACTCTAAATCGCACCCATTGTCAAGCATAAACACTCCGAAGTGCGCCCTACAACCCAAGAACCCTCCAATCAAGACCGGTCCTGCCAAAGAAGCGCCTGCACGACCGGACACCTCGAGATCTGCTGGGAGATCCAAAAAGATGCCTATAGTCAGCGTGCACATCTTTGGCCAAACGTTTTCGGCAACGGCATCCAACGCATGGAATCTGAGCAATCCTGCTCATATCTCTAGAACAAAATCATTCCAGATCCTAGTCGAATCATGTAAGCAAGCAGCACTCATTGTTTATGTGTCCCTTGATTGTATCCACTTGCCCAACACTTCCTTGAGAAAAGTTCAGTTGTCTGATTGAACATTCTGCACCTTTCCTGAGGTTTCAAACTGCGCCGCTTGCCTGCTTCATCTTCGGGAGAGGGGCTGCAGTGTGCAATGTGGATGGGAATAAACTGAATAAACCATACAGTGAGTCTTGGAGTGCTCGTTGCAGAGAGACAGGGCTGTAGGCAGAAGCTCATTTGGGCGGCATGACACAACTGCCAGTGACCTTTCAAGGAGCATGTCATATCATTCCATGCCCGCGTCGTGCTCTTTGAGTTCTTTTGGCCATGAGCTGTACCGCCTCCTTCCAGCAAAGGTACTGGAAGGGGGGATCTGAGATGTCATTTGGCTTGCCCCTTGGCCGATCTTTGGAAGTGGAAGACGGGTCAATTTTGGCAGCCTTGCTCCAGTGGAACGCCGACTTCGGAAATGCAATGCTGACCCATCTCTGCCAGAAGTCCACGCATTGTCTGTCAGTGTAGGCACAGGAGCCCGAGGAAGGACGACCCGTGGCAGTGGTTGTATTGCACGCGTGTGCATGAGTGCGTGTGCGTGTGCGTGCGTGTGCACATGCGTGCGTGTGCGCATGTGTGTGCATTTGTGCATTTATGTGTTGCTCGTGGTGTATGTGCTTGTGTGGCTAGGATAGTGCGAATTTTGGACCATCAGGTTCGGACTGGGCAAGGAGAAGCACCTTGGGCTGCAGTGTTCTTCACACAAGGTAGCCATGAGCTCGTCTGAGAAGGCTTGAAGCTGAAAGAAGCTGAATCAATCCAGGGTTTAGAATTTGGGGTTCCGGCTAAGGCTTTAAGGATTTAGTGTCGCGGTGGTTGCCACTCTCTTTGCCCAAGCTCTTGTTCAATGTCAACTTTGTTTCGTGTTGTCCTAGTTAAAAGCGAATAGAAGGCCTCCGGTCTTTCTCTCAGACATTGAAATGGCAGAGCTCTCGTTGCAGCTGTGCTTCTAGGTTACCTTCGCGTGCAACCGGATTTGGACGCTGCCCTTAAATCGCAGACAAACATTCGAACACTGTATGAACACATTATACAGTACAGATGCCATGGGGATTACCAAAAGATAGTAAGGAGCATGGCAGATGGAAATAACTGTCCCCGACTGCCCAATATAGGTACTAAATACAAACGACGAACTACTACAAAGCCTAAACACTAAAGCTTCAACACCAAACCCTTTTGTTAGGGAGGGGGGGGGGGGGGGGGGGGGGCCGGGGGGGGGAGCCACAAGTAGCGGGTGGAGGATGGAAGCCTGTGGAACCCTGGGCATCGCAGTGGCCATGTGCTGAACTCTGCGCAGAGCACAGTTCGCAGGTTAGAATCGATGGCAGTTCCACCCTAAAACCCTAAAGCCCAAACCCTAAACCCTAAGGTTTGTAACTCAGAAATCTGGCAAGGCCCCTCTTTTCTTCAGCGCAGTCTTGGAGCCAACTGGCACACTAGACTGCGGCAAGAAAGCAAGTTGGCCCTCAGAAGTATGGCAAAAACTACAAATTCCATGTCTTGTGGCAAATTATCCCGAACCCTTCTTGAATCTTATCAAGTTGTTCTTGATCCCGGCCGGCAGATTTCTGTTGTTCCTTGAGACCATGCCGGCAAGGCATGAGTCTAGCTTCGACACTGGCTGTTCTGGGAGGTTTCGTGAAATCGCCTGCTTGCATTGATTTATAGTCTCCGTTCTGAGCTGAAAGACCCAGGTATCTCCTGTACCTAGAGGCAGCTCCTGGCTGTGTTGCAGAAATCGGCTACAGCTGTATGTTGACTCAGGGTTGCCGACACGGAGAACGTGTGCAAGCAGAACGGCGAATGCAGCAAGTGGCCAGCATCCGGGCAGCAGATCGAAAAAGACAATAGCTGGGACCGCTTAGCATGGCTGACTCTTCACGGTGGCAGTGACTTTGGGGGTATTGCCTTCAATCGACTTGCCAAAGCCAAGGTGTACTGCTTGAATGCCAACTTGACCCATCTCCCGGCATCGGAGGCCGAGCTAAGGTTTGCGGGTGTTGCAGAGCAGAACAGAATTTGGTGAATCGTGCCTGGCGCGGAGATACGCAGACTTGTGCCATTCTGCCAGCGGGAGAGGCTTTGTTTGCACGTTTGCACCCTCCTCTCAGTCTGAAAAGATCTTCGGCCGGCTTTGCCGCCTGAAAGCGGAAGTTTGAATGTGTCTTGGGCACGGGTATTGTATTCCCAGGTTTCATTGTCTAAGGAGCATCTCTTCATGTGCTCCTCCCGCCCGATCAGCAGCATCATTCGGTCGTGGGCGTGAATCCGCACATTTTTGACTTGGCGTCCGTATCATCTTAATCCGTTTGCCCCCTCTAGTTTGTCTCGGGCATCCTTTGCTTAAAATTGATGGTATTGCGGGGGTTGTTTCTTGTGAATCCGTTTGCCCCCTCCCCATAGGCAACATGAGTTTCGGGCATGAATCTCGGGCAAAAAACGCAGTTCTTAACAATAGTTTGTAAGGAGTGTTTTATCGTCGGTTGTGCGCGCCAGCACCCACAAGAATTGCATATCCTTCCGGTATGAATTTCTCCCTCGACTCCTCGACTGCTCTGGCGATGCGATTCATGTAGCTTGGACGAGATGTGTCAGGCATTTGGACGTGTGAGGATGTTACCTGAGCGCTCCCAGGAAGATATATCCCGAGCCTCTAACATGGGGGGGGTGGGCTTTCGGTCTAGAGTTTATGCATGTTTGGGCCCCAGCCTTTGATGTACCAAGAAAGGTTTTGGGTGGATTCGACACCCGAAATACCGAACCCGAAGCCCTCCTTCGACGGGAGGCGGAACGCGCTGCAGCGGTCGCCAAAGCCTGGGGAGGTAAGGTCACGGGCACTTGCCGCAGCTGGGTGTCAAGAACAGATTCTCATGAAGCTTTTATTTTTCTGGTTGAGGACAAAGGGAAACCAATCAACAAACTTTCGAACCTTGGGAATGGGACCCTCTGTAACCCTTAGACAACAGGTGAAAAGTGACTGGACAGGATTCTTGATACTCGAACAAAGTTAACCCTATGATTCACCTAGGCATGTCCATCTGACTCTTAATATTCGTTGAAAAAAACACGGCCCGTGTTCATATTAAGCTTATTGTCTCTTCGGGCGCTTCTTTGAGCGTTGGGCCCGTGCTTTTGCATGTTTATCAATTTAGTCGTTTTGTGTGCACTATTATGTTTAAGCTTTTGGCACGCAAAAAACGATTATTGCGAAAGGAAGCAGTGCAAGACATGAATTGGCTCAATTTCACGATCTTCATTCCAATCCTAAGTTGCTTGTTGTTCGATTGAGTTATGCGCCGTTCATATTTTCACTCACTACAACTCAATTAAACAAGCAAAAGAGGTTAGCAGAACAATCCAGAAAAGTACTTGTTTGGCCTGGTTTTCCTTTATATTGTCCTACTAGGAATTGAGTGCAAGTTGTGATTACTTACAGCAGAGTTGATGTTTTCAGGCTGGATGTTTTTCGAGTGAGCTCGTCCGAGGAAGTTGGGCTTGCGACATGTTGGGGATGAAGCTGTGCTGAAAAGGCCATGAGGCTTATAGGGCAAATTTAGGTAAACACACAAACGTGCATAGGATTCCGGGATGCAGAGCAAAGGCAACACCACGGTCCTTGCCGAGACGATTGCTGAGATCGTGCTGTGATCAAGCTCCCACCATGGGCCGTTCAAGCCAAAGTGCAGAACCTTTCTGTTTTTTGCAGGGTCTGGATCCCTGAAGCGTCCTGCCGACAATTTAGGTAAGCCTTAGACTTCATCTGCGATGGAACATCATGGAACCGCACAACGCCATAGCGAGCATCATAGTCCATCGCGGCAAAAGGAGCAGGGGCTTCCATATGCCTCCATCGCGCACCGCTTGGGTAGCGAGGAGACCGTGAGTTTGAACTGCGACAGGCCTGTATTTACGCAAGGATCCCCAGGACCTCCGTCGGCTCAGTTATAGGGGACCCCGAATCTAGATCCCCGAGTAGTAGGATTCCCTTATAGTAAGGTCCCCAAGAAGGTACCCCTTATTTCGGAATCCCCCATCTTCAGTCATGAGCTCGGAATCTGCAGAAGCTGATGGAGTCCCTGGAGCAACGTCCTGAATCTGAGTGCTACAGCCGCGGCTGCTGAAAGTGATGGCCGACAGGGCCAGGCTTTCGAGCAGTCGCAGGGAGTTGAGACTTGAGGCTTTGGTTGAAGCTTCACCCGCTGAGTTGCCGCCAATGTGCACGGCGGCAGCTCCTTCAGCCGAGTGATTTGAAAGATCGTTTGCGATGTGGAAAAACCGCGTGGCATTGTGGTCCTAGCAAGAAGCTGCAGTCCAAGCACACCGCTCCCCGACTCAGCGCCCCGGGGAGTTAAAATTATCTTGCTGCGCGTCCAAAGTAGTTCTGCCATGTTCTGCCACTGACGTGGCCAACCCGAGGGTTGTGGGGATGGAGTTTGAGGATGCAAAAAGGCCACACTGCAACCCAACCGACTGCAGTGAAATTCCTATTGCGTCCCAAACTCAGAACCTTAAGCTCACCCAAGGACCAACCTACTCGAAGTCGTTGGTTTCCCGGACAATCACGGCATATCACGGCCTCCGATGACCCGTTAAGCAACCACTGGGCACGCGGCAGGGCTGTGCGTGTGCGTTCGCTTCCGGCGCGCTTGCGTTCGGGGAGTTTGCGTTCGAGTCCGGATTCCAGCACTCCTTGGGCCGGACAGGCATGCTTTCAGGCACTCCTGGTCACTCATCTAGTGTGCGGCGGAAGAGTGTCCGACAGGACCTACTGCTTTACAGCATGGTTGAGGCTAACCATGCTAGAGCTAGGCGCGTGGAAAACAGAGATGGCCACAGGGGAGCCATGCGATGAAAGATGTCCTTACCCAGCTTGTGAGCCAGAAGCTGCGCCGAGCCTTAGGCTGCGCCAACTCCCCCACAAGCACGCCAGCCTTTCGAGCCCCCCGAAACCCCGGGAACCGCAAGCTTTGAAGCCTTGATCCCTGAGATCTCTTCACTTAAGGAATAAGGTACCATACATCCCCTATATACCCTTTGAAGGATGAAATATGGTACCTGATGCCCCAATTCCTTACTAAACAGTAAGTTCAGCCTCCGTCTACAGGAGCTCAGTCACTGCAGCCTCGTAGCCGAGCAGAATGCCGAACTCCGACATGAGTGCCTGGGTTGGCTGCGGGACTGTGGGTTGAGTTCAGGGCTTATTAAGTGGATGCAAGAAAGGGTCAGGGTCAGGCGAACTGGCCCTCAGTCCAGCCATATATCAAAAGGCGTAGTTTTGACTTGAAAGCACATATCAAACATTCGTCACATCTTGGGCTTACTCGGGGCTCCTCCCACTAATTTCAGGTATCTCTCGTGCTCTTGTTCTCCACACATAAGTTGAAAAGTTGAACAGCGGTGAGTCATGACCAGAAGGCCCCAGTTCTCGTTTGGTGTCACTTCGCTTCCCGTTTCATGTCGCCTGAATGGCTAAAGTCATCAGGTACCAGGGGCTTCTTGATTTCTGAATGGGGCAGGCTGGAGGCTGAGAGGCTTCTTCAAATTCCAAAAACCCTCCAAGAACCCCCCTTTCTTGTCCTGTTAAAACTCCGCGCAGGTACGCTGAGAGGCGACTTCGCATGTCCATCCCTAAGGCCCCACCTGAGCAGGCAGGGATTCAGACTGCACCGCCTCACTCTGTCTGTCCACAAGGGTTTATAGGAGTTCAGGGTGAGCTGGGTGAAGAGGGCCTTTCAGGGTCTTAGAGGGAATGCCGGGGTGCCTATGCATGTTCGTGGAGCCGGACCTCCCCGCTGGAGCATAAATCAAAAACAGAATGTTGCAAGAATGGATGCTATGGCTGCGCCACTCCCTCCCAGAGAAACCTTTCCGCCAGAAACAAAAAAGCACTTTCGAGCTCATGCCGCAGGCAGAGACAGACTGCTTGGCCTTCGATTTCGACGCCTTGGAATTGCAAAGATCTCGGGTCAATCATGTCAGCATTTCGAATTTGAAGGGCTTCGGGTTTAGGGCTTACATGGAGTTTTGGGATCCCGGTTACTAGAGCTTCGGGATGTTTGTTCAGGAGGTCGAGACATCTGGCGTAACTCCAGCGACACGACTTGACAGAGCTAATTAATGCACCTCAAAACCGGCTGCGCAGGACCTTCTGAACAATTGGACATAGTCGTACAAGAGCCGAAACATGAGCTGTGGAGTCTATAACGCGTCAAGCCATTCCAATCAGAAGCAGACCTCGAGATGCTGAAACCTAAGAAGCCTCGAATGTTCAGAACCCTCAGCCCTGGGCGCTGGAGCCCTGCCCCTCAACGCGCCAAGAACTTAAGGCTCGAGACGGCGCAGACTGACACGGCACAGAGCCCGCAGTCAAAAGAAGGTGGTCTTTTGGTTTTTGCAGCCGTCCGACAATGCTCGAATGTGGGATCTAGAGATCTTTGCAGCCTGCGTGCATCTTCGAGATTCAGCTTCAGACCCAGCAAACGCCTGTTGCAAAGAAGGGTAACTAATCCCTTAGCCCCCCCCCCCCCTCCCCAACAACCCAAAAGAAAAGTCGGAGTCTGACCAAGTCCGGCTTCTGGGCTTGCGTCGAGACCTGCCCAAAAAAAGCCGATTTCCCATGTCTCCTCTTGCACATCGTCATGTTGATCCAGGGTGGTTTAGCCAACAACAATCCTTACAACTAGGTGCAGGCTGCACAATTGACAGGAATTAGACATTGGCTCGCTACTTGTAGTCGCTTTATCTCGCATCGCTCGATTTTTTTATTCCCCAGAGTATATCTCCTGATGTGTCGAAGGCGCCCTGGTTGTTATGGATCGACGTCCACATTGGGGAACTTCGTTCCCCGAAGTCGGCCTCGTCGTCATCTACACAGCATCTACATGCTCTTTTGCATCTTGACAGTGCCCCTTAACCCTAGCCACTCAGCCAAAACCCGACACATCGATCGGCGTCCAGTGGGGAACGTCTCTTGATGTGTCGAAGTCGGCCTCGTGCAGGCTTTACATGTCTTCGGGTTAAGTAGCGGATGATTGCTGGGGGGTGGTCTCGGTCACCCTGATCGTGATTAGCTGTTGAAGCATAGTAAAAGTGCTATAAAAACGTGCTGAGAAACCCTGGTGTCCGCAGCAAATCCGGCAGCTTGATGCATGTTGGCTGTTCCGCCGTTGATGTGTATTCCTGCTATGTAGCATCCACAATGAGGTGATGTGTACTTCTCGCGACCTGATGTGAGATAAGCCCGCCGCAAGTACTGCTCTAAACCCTAAACCCGACTGCCGACTCTGGCCCAAAGCTTTTGCCACGGAGGACTTGGACAACTTTCCCTCACACACAAGTGTCGCTGAGCCCCTCACGTCAAAATGACCATGAACTCATGAACCTAACCACTATTGTTATGACTGAGCATCTACTACATTACATTACTATCTGGTCAAGACCACGTTCCACCAAGTTCCACCTCGGAGACTGTCTTGTCTCTTTCACAGACGAGCCAATGGAGGCTAAACGCATGCGTGTGGAGGGCAAGCCTCCGTACCCCTCGCGGGGGAACCGCCTTCAAGACAAGGTCGTGCCTTCGGCAGCAATCTAGTACGCAATTTGATCCTTGAGAGGAGGAACAGGGCTCTTGCTCCTACCTTTCTGAAGGCAGTTTGAGAGCTTACAAGGATTGTTATACTGTTGAGATGTTGCTTCGATTCTGGAAGCTGAGGTAGTGATTACAGGAGCCGCGGGAAACTTTGGCTCCGTGTGCGCGCAGATGGCGGCAGCTGAGGGCGCCAAGCTTGTGGCCAGGGTGCATCATTATGATTCAGTGTGTCCCTGGATCGGTTTAGTATATATATATACAAATACATACATATATATATGTGCATATATATATATGTATAGTAGGGCACACCCACATGCACCCACGAAGGGTTCATAAGTTTGATCGAACCCATATGATGTGGCGTGTTTTCAGGGGTTTGCTTTCGACTGATGGGTCAAAGAAGCCGTGTACACTCCACCAAGCTGGCTGTCGAAACTGTTTTCAAACGCAACTCGCAGGGTGAGTGTGTGTTAGGGGGATGAAAAGCTGGCATAGCTGGCAAGTGCGCTCACTCTGAGGCTTTAGTGGACTTGGCCAAGGACGCAAGTCCCCAACAGCCGAAGCAAGTGCGCCTTCAGGTTGGCAGAGTTTGCCGTCCGCCGTCAGGGGACCCTCATTCAAAACTACCTCCAAGGGATCGGCGCTTGCTCAGAAGCACAGCCGTCAGCTTAGCGAGGGCTTGGGTCCTTTAAGTCGGGTTTAGATAGTTTAGGGTTGCCTTGGCTTGAGTCAAGCGTAGTCTTCGCTTGTTGTTGGGCTGCCCTGGCCCGGGTTCTCATGAACATCCATGTTAAACCGATTTGTTGTGATGGTGGCGGTGTGTTCACATTCGCTGGGCCAGGACAAACTCGAGTCCGTCGCCGAAGATGTCAGAAAGACGTACAATGTTCTTGTCAAGGAGTTTGTTATGGATGCGCCTTGTCACAACTTGCACCCGATGAAAAGCCCAGAAACAACAGCCTCAGAGCCTCTTTTCAGGCCCTTGTGTAGGGTGAGCCTATCCCTTTTTTCGTGGAGCAGACAGAATCGCTGCCCATCTCGTTGCTCTCGAGCGTAGGAAGGAGCCCTGAAAAGGCTCAGCGAACCATGATTTGCAAGAGGCCTAACGCAGAAACGTTTTTTGCAGCCAGACAGAGTACTTATGTGTGGGGCAGCCGCTTGGGCGCACGTGGCAAGAGCGGGCTTCGCAATGCATAAAGCTGGTAGAGGCCACATGTCATGGAAAGCCGAACTCAGGTGACCAAGGAGGCAGAGATAGAAAAGACGGTTGCGGACGTGAAGGCTGCGTTTGGCCCCATGGCATGACATGCTTGCGAAGATTGGCACGCGCCATAACGCGCCTCCAACACGCGGAACTTCGCGGAAGAGTACATAAGAAGATCGGGTTTGAGCTGGACTCACCACTGCTGATGCAGCCTGTTTTTCTGCATCCAATCTGCACCGAGGTTGCATTGATTGTCTTTTCAACAATGCTGGCTACCAGGGCCTGCTTCTGAGTCGCATCTAGTAGGCTCCCACGGACCATCTGGCAACATCGGCACCATCGACAGTATGCTCTGGCAAACTCTTGGTTGTGAAGTCTTGGCATGCCATCAACTGGAGGTTTGCCCCTGTGGATACCTACAGCTTTGAGGACTTTGAAAAGGCGCCGGAAAGAGCTCCACAAGCCTGATGGCAGGTAATTGAAACATGTTCGGGAAAGAACACGCAGGTCATGAAGATAAACGTGACTGGCGTGTTTGCAGTTCTCAAGCACGTGTCCAAAGTCATGGTGGAACAGCGGCTTGCCCTTAACAGCAATTTGAACATGTGGTCACGAAAAGCAGAATTTTAGATACAGGTCTCTTGCGAGTTCTGTGAGGTTTTGGACAAGCAATCTTAATGAAGCCCCAACCATCCAGTGCTATGAACAGCTCCCAGGCCATCGGTATAGCTAAATATGCAGCCAAGCAAGAAAGGCTAACACAACGCACTCCCATGTATGGTTGAAGTGTCTCGAGCCTTTTGTTAGAAAAGATCGGCGCTGTCTTCCGATATTTATGGCGCAGCCATCACTCCCACCGGCTTTGAGGAAGAGGGGCGCCATCGTGAACACAGCCAGCTGTGCTGGACTCGGCTGTCCCACGATGATGACTGGCTATGCTACCAGCAGCTTGGGTTCAATTGCTGGTGCTAGAGGGGGTTTCGGTTTTCAGGCAGTTGATCAAGAAGGGCCATGTTTGCGGAAGCTGTTAGACTGTCAATAACTCTATGTTCGGCAACTTGTGTCTCAACGACCATCAGCAGAAGTTCCTTTTGCAAGCACTTTGGGCCCTTCGTCACATTCACCTGGGTAAAAGTTTACAAACAAATAGCAGGCATCCTGTGACAGAGCCATCCAGAGAGTGCAGGGAAGGGAGCTCCTTCTTTCATATGAGGACCTGGTCCGTCCCAGTCTCCCCCACGATTTGCAGCTCAAAGACCGGCAATCCTAAGACCCATATACATTGCAGGCAAGGCGGCCGTTCTCCACCTGACGAAGATCGCCGCCCTTGACCTTGCTCCCAGCAACATCCGCGTGAACTCTGTGAGTCCAGCCCCACGGCCCCAAGCGAATGGGATGTGGGTTTAGGGCAGTGGGCGGGCGGGGGGGGGGTCAAAGCGAGTTAGTATCCGCGGTCTTGTCTGATCTGGTATTTGTACAAAAAAGCAGGTGGCAGTCAGGTAGCAGGTAGTAGATCCGGCTTGGGTAGCTTGTTTTCCCAAAGATTCACAGCCCCAATCCAAACGCAGAACCGTCGTCCCATGAGGCATTTATCGGACCCGATGATGGCTTCATGTGGCTACGGCAGGCGCTGACGGGAGGGCACAGCGGCTTCTATCATGTTTAATCCGAGGAGGTCTTACAGCATGATGGCATGAAGCAGACCACCAGTTCAGAACACGCCTTTCCTTGAACGCTGGCAGCAAGACGCATCGAGCCTGGAGGTAGAGCTTCAAGCGAAGGCCAACCCGACTGGAGCCCCCGAGTGGCTGCGACTGCATGGTTCTACAGTTGGTTTACGAAGTGGGTTTAGGGTTTAGGAAGTTTATAGGGTTTAGAAAGCCAGGGTTCAAGAGGGTTAGACTCGCTGCGATCTCCTTACTTCTTGTTGAGGGTGACATTCTCAGCATGGCAGACTTCGGAACGTCTGAGGCGGTACTACTCCAATGACACCAAAGAGGTGGCCACACAGATGCTGGAGAGCAAGGGCTCAAGACCAGTCTGTTACTTATGACTTGGTTGCCCAGGTTGAGGATTTGAGAACCACAGCTCCAAGTTGCGTGTAATCTGCTTAAGGCAAGGCTCCGGACCATTTGAAATAGAATCCCGTGATACAAGATGCCGAACCACACATGCACTGTGAGGAGTCTGTGCCGCTGCGGCGCCTCGGCCGCCCAGAAGAGGTGCGCCTTGCCCGCAGCCAAGATGACAAGCCGGTGGTGTTCTTATTTGGCTCTTTGGTTCCGAACAGACACGCGCTAGAGTATAAGACAACACCATGCGAAAGGCGCAGTCTAGAACATTTGTCGGTACATTCGTATGGACAGATTAGATTATTCATCGATAGAAGTCTTGAAGTTATGCAGCTGGTTGCCAGAAGCCCGCCTCTTGTGACAAGGATCCAAGCGGTTCTCTTCTTGCTCAGCGAGGAGAGGTGAGCGACCAAAATCTCAGCTGGCCAGGCTGTGGTTTAGGGTTTAGGGTTCGTAGCATGGGATGCTACCATTACCCAGGCCTCCAGGTAGCGCAGGCACGCTCAAAAATGTGGAAGGCCGCTTGTCCTGAAGGCTGCCGCAGTATAGGAGGTTGCCACTGCAAGAGTTGACGCGGACACATGAACATAGTAATCTAAGCAGGGAGGATTGTAGATGACTCTGGAAGCATGCCGTTCGGTGTTCAGCACGTTAGGTGCTGCCATCTTTTGATTCTTAGCGGCCCTAGCAGCTAGGCAGTTGGCACGGAACGTGTCAATGACACGAGTCCCCTACCGATCATCGTCTCGTGATCTGCTATGGTTTTTGCCAGCACACCTTGGCACATTGCATCCGGTTAGGGGCAGAACGTTTGGGATCAGGTTTCGGGTTCAGTTTGGGGTTTCGGGGGGGGGTGTTCAGAGAGTGAGCCACAACCCCCGCACCCTCCCTTTGAGGAGTCCTCCTACATCACCGGCACGGACATCAACATCTCTGGTGGCAATGTTTTGGGCGGTTCCCGGGGTTAGGGGGCAGGTGCCAGCCTCCTTGGAAAGCCTAGATAGACAGCACAAGCTGGAGCGTGAAGTAGATCAAGGCAATTGAGGGCAGCAGTATCCGCAGATGCTGCCAAGAGTTCTGGGCTTTCCTTGAGACTCCTCACCTGTCTTCAACAGGTTGATGTTTGATCACCCTGGCCCTGCTGACAGGATTGCGGCTTCGAGTCGAAAAAGAGACCAAGAGACCTGGGCGTCTGATGGGTTGTTCATGGTTGTTCTATACGGTCTATACGTTCTAAGCCAGGTACGCTGGTATTCTCTAGAACCCCAAGAAGGGTCGCTCAGATGCTCGGATCCCCAGAGACAGCCTAGAGTAAGAGGCACCCTGATTCTGAACCCCCGGTGGCACCCCTGTACCTTAGTCCTTTGGCTGCGAAAAGTCCGCAGTCTTTGCCAGGCTCAAAAGTAGCCACAAGGAATGGAAAAAGGCGCAATGCATTGCTGGAAAGCTCTAATTTTTTCAGCGCTGTTTGTGGGCTGCATTGGCAACACTGAGCCGCCATCCAACTTGCTGGTGGTGGGCGGGTTTCCAAAATGCAGCTCCTCGCACATCTTTCGTGTTCTTCAAGCTCACCCAAACATCGTCACGCTCGGAAAGCAAGTGGGCGTCCAGCCCGGTCAGGAGCTGGAGTTTGAAGAGGCAGCTTTCACCATCGCGAGGTCCCTGCAAGTTCCTGGCGCACCTTTGGCCGATGCTTGCTGGTATCTGGGCCCAAAGGGCAGCACGGAATGCCAGCGGCTGGTTGGCTGGATCAGAGGGAAATACGATAACTCCACTGCCGCAGTGCTCGCGATCACTGACATCTTCTTTCTGGAGAAGAAGGCCCTTTAAAGTCCTGTCAAGCACTTTCGAAATCCCCAGAAAGTCGAGAGAGGCTACAGCAATGCCCAGCCTCTGCCCCAAAGGGTATACTTCGACTATACGGGAATGCACTTTCCTCTGACTCCTGCAAGAGAAATACATGAAAACAAATAGCAGCTACAGCTGCAAAGATTAAAAACTATTATCTTCGAGACAATAGTACTTCTGTGAAGTAGAGGTTGGACCTGAAACCCAAGGTAGATTGAAAAAATGGCACAAGTTTATTTGACCCCTGTCATACCAGTGGAGATCTTTCGGTAAAAGCTTGCCCGGCCTTGGTCAGCGCTCGAACCGCTAAAGCACCAAACCTTGAAAGCCCTACATGCCGAAGTTTGCAAAAACGACAAAAAGGGCAACCACACCCCAAAGTAACCTTAAACCCCTAAAGCCATGCGAGCTCGGTGGATGGAGGTAAGTGCTAGGGCGCTTGTGACTGGGGTGTTAGGATGGGCCAATGTGTCTCTGCGTGTTTTGGATTGGGACTACAGAAGCATGGCCTGCGCGTGCGCTAGTTTGAGAATGAACCCTAAAACCCGAAGCCCTAAACCCATGCGAAGCAGAGCGGCCCCCGAGCTTCCGGCTCAGGTCATGTTATCTCGCTGGGCCGGCCGAGTCAAGATGCTGCTCCTTGTTCGCGAGCCGGCAGATTACTTATGGTCTGCCTACAACTTCTGGGTGCTGCCGGGGGAACCCAGGAGTTCTCAGGACGACTGGACAGACAAGGGGCACCTCGCCAGTCCACAGGACACACGCAGGCCTAGCACTCTAAAGGTACTGATGCAAGGTCCAGGCAAGCATCATGCCTGGACAGCTTTCATTGCATGTGTAGCCAGAAGGGCCCAAGGATGTTTTTTGGAACTAGGTGGCATGTTGCCCAATCCGTGCATGAAAGTTAGAAGCCCACGTTGCTTTGCGCTCTCAAGGATACATAAGCGCAGCCCCGAGCACTTCCATGAGTTGGTCCTGGCGGATGGCAAAATGCCAGCCTGGCAGCCCCGAGCCAGCAAAGTGACAGGGCTGTGGTTCGACCTCGTCATTGGCATCGAAAACATTTCCACCAACATCCTAGTCTTGAAGTCGGAGGACCACGAAGATTGTCGAGCATGCAGGCATGTAAGCACTCCAAATCAATGTAGCCCACAGCCGAAGCTCCTACCTCGAAGCCCCTCGATTCCTCAACCAACCACCGCCCCGCTGCCTCCACATGTCCGCAAGGCAACGGTGAAAAATGTCCTTCGGTTTTCCCATTACGGCTGTTTATTTTCTCCAGGATTTCAGCGACAATGTGCAGACCACCTTGGATCGGCTGCTCATCAGAAAGAATGTGTGCAGGTCTTCAAGACGGGGCCGCTAGGGGATAGTGTAGGAATGGGGGCTTCAATAGGCATGTTTGGTCACGTCGGGAAGGCCCCAGCAATGTTTCAGGGGTTCGTTTTGGGAGCAACAAACAGCCCTTCGGGAGCAAGAAACAGTCGTTTCAAAGGGTTTAGGGTTTAGGGTTTAGGGTTTAGGTGTGTTCCCAAGGGTTTGCAAGATCAGCAAGGTTGGGCTCCTTCGCAGGTGTGAGTGCTGCCGGCTTCCCGTCAACAGCTGTTCTTGGCCGCACCAACTCGCAAACCACTGCTGGTGGCCGAGGAGCAGGCACCTTCCAGAGGGGTTTCTCCTTCGTAACCGGTGTGTATGAGATTTCTGGCAAGAAACCTATGCTGTGTGCAACGAGATTGCTCATCTACTCCAAGAACAAAGATGTTTGCAGAGTGCTGAGCTCGTCTTTTGGAGTCCACTACCGCGAATGTCTTGGAGATGATCCCGTGGATTGTGCCAGCGAGCATGGCAACGAGCATTTTAATCCGAGCCCCGAGAAAATCCATGCCTTACTCGAACTCCGGCGTGCAAAGCTTAATCAGATGCAAGGACAGATCAGAGTTGTCAAACGCAAGACTCCCATGGAGCCAGTACCTGAAGCTGCATTACCCTCAGTGTCTGCATTCCCCTCAGTGTCCGCAGCGCCTTTGTTGGAAAAGCCTCCGCCTGACCTGGCGGAACAAGCGGTTCCCCCAAACCTGCTGGTGGTTGGAGGCTTTCCAAAGTGCGGCTCGTCGCATATCTATCGCATGTTCATGGCTCATCCGAACGCTGCGACGTTCTCCAAGCAGATCGGCGCGCTGCCTGCCTTGGAGCTCGAGTTTGAGACAGCAGCTTTCGCAATCGCAAGGACCCTGCAAGTTCCGGGAACACCCTTGAAGGATGCCTGTAAGGACTTCCATGGTCGCCTCGGCCAAGAGTGTGCTCGTCTCGCCGGTACGGTACGGGGCAAATATGACGCTGCCGCCCCGGCGGTGCTCGTCATCACTGACATCTTCTTCCTAGAAAAGAAGGTGGGCTGCAGGGTTTGCGGTTTAGGGTCTAGGGTTAGGGGCACGACATGAAGAACATCAAGAACAGCAGGGCATCTCAAGACATTCACAGATTCGATGTTTCATCTGGTTCCCCGGGAAGCGCTTGCACTATGGTGGGTTCCTTCGTTGGCAGTAGAAATCTGGATGAGCAATCACCGCAATGCAAGTGTAAGTGCACGCACGGGAACTCAAAGTCTATCGGTTTGGGGTTTATAGGTTTTAGGGTTTATAGGGTTTAGGGTTTAGGGTTTCCACGTCCGCGGCTTCGCTCACGCTAGGCCCACGTCGGAGGGCATCCTAAGCGACGAAAAAAACCCTCGGTCCCGTGCACCCGAAAATCGCGCTGCCGCCTGAATCCGCGCACTTCTGCGTCGGTGGGGCTCTTCGTCATCCTTTTGGGGGCCCTGGAACTGGCTTGAAGTGATCTTGGAGCGTTTGGGAAGGGAGGGGGGGGGGGGGGGGTGGACTTGGGAGTTGATGTAGAAGTCACATTGGAGCGGTCTTGGCATGCTGTTGCTCTTGGGAGTGTTGAGTCTTCTTGTTGTGCTTTTCTGGAATGCTCTTGAAGTGGTCTGACACCGTTGGGCACAGATGTTTTCTCAACCGGCAGGTCCTGCTGTCTCGCTGGGCGGGCAAAGTCAAGATGCTGCTCCTTGTTCGCGAGCCGGCAGACTACTTATGGTCTGCCTACAACTTCTGGGTGCTGCCGGGAGAACCCAAAAGTGAGATGGACGACTGGACAGAAAAAGGGAGCCTTGACAGCAGGATCTGGGGTTAGGATGCTGTAGGGCTGCAACCTGCAAAGATGTTGTTGAGGATGTTGAGGAGGGGCCGTTGCAGAGTTGGGCCAAAATTTGAAGTTGGGCACCCCTTGTAAATTGACAACATCCACCTCAGGAAGCACGTCCGCAGCCCCGGGCACTTCCACGAGTTGGTCCTGGCGGATGGCAAAATGCCAGCCTGGCACCCCCGAGCCGACAAAGTGACAGGGCTGTGGTTCAACCTCGTCATTGGACTCAGAAACATTTCCACCAACATTCTGGTCTTGAAGTCGGAGGACTGCGGGTACTTGAACTGAGCATGGCAAACTCGTAGGGAGTGCTCGTTGAATGACTCCATGCGTCCAAGACCATAAGCTAAAGCCCTTCTGGCATCGTACCATCACGACGTCTAGACCCAAGGTCGCGTCTGGTCGCGTCACACATGGGTTTCGAACGTGCCCAAGGCTCGGGACAAGGGGAATGGGGATGGAATGGGGTCGGAGTGATTGAAAGAGCAGACCAGGATTTCAGCAACGCGATCAATGCCACCTTGAAGAGGCTCGGCTCCTTCGCAGGTGTAAGTCCTGACGGCTTCCCATCGGCGACTGTTCTTGGCCGCACCAACTCGCAACATAGTGTTGATGGCCGAGGACAGGACACCTTCCAGAGAGGTTTTTGGGCCGTAGCCGGCGTGTATGAGATTTCTCGACGGAGGCCCATGTTGTGCGAAACGAGACTGCTCATCTATTCCAAGACCAACGACGTCTGCGGAGTGCTGAGCTCGTCTTTTGGAGTCCACTACGGCGAGTGTCTTGGAGATGATCCTGTGAAGTGCACGAACGAGCCTGGAAATAAGTATCTGAAAGGCCAGGGGCCAACGAAGATGATCACGACGACCATTGCCCCCATTACAACAACCATAGGCCCTTCCACGCTCATGTTACTCATGGCCGAGACCAGGGCATCCAGCTTGGATGTCATGGCCATTCCCATCTTCATTGCGGGGATGAGCTGTGGCCTTGGCGTTGGCCGGCTGAGAGGTCGATGATATGCCGCAGCCAAAACAGAACGGGCAGCCTTCATCCACTTTGCAGAAGTCTTAAGTTGTCACACCCTGGATCAAAAAGAGTTTTGAATAGATGGGTCCCCGGTTGTACTGCAAAAGAGATCAGCAACGTCACGAATAACAGTTCCAGGTACGGGATTGTAATCCGAATCAGGAGATCTCCAGCAGCTAAAACCTCTTTCGCCATTCTACCCGAACACCCTCGCTTTGTTCGTGTAGCCTGGGTCAGGGCAGGATCAAGAGGTGGTTGCAGTGCCTGTGAGTGTTGCTGCAGGTTCCATATGCAATTAAATTCAAGGATCGGGGTATCTTCACCTGCCAGCGATCTTTACGATGTCTGCTGCTACCTGGGGCAGGGCGAGCCGAACGCATCACCATGAACACCAGAGCATGCGATGACCCAAACCTCCCAAAGAGGACCGTCACCGCTAATCAGCCTCACAAACCACCCTGAACCCAGAATCACAGAGTAAGGATCAAACTGGCTCCAATGTCCCTGAAGAAAATTAGTAAGTGCAGAGCTCTCTGACGATGACCTCCAGCGATCTAAGCCTCAGAGTTCTTCGTTACGTTAACTGGCTATGAATGTGTTCTTTGGCTTCGCACGCTCCCTTGAGGGGCGCTCGTTGTTGAGGTCGGGCGACGCTGGGCTTTCAGTGGTGCAAAAGGGACCCTAATATAGAAATTCCAATTGCGGCATCGGCAAGGAACAATTCATGTCCTTCGAAGCCGCATCCAGCCCCAAGCTCAAGCCTGACTTTAGTGCCGGTGGCTTCCATGCTTTGTCCTCAAGGGCCCTTGCAATCATACATCAGCCAGATTCATCCTATATGGCCCTCTGCATACGAGACCTTGCGGCAAGCGAGCCTGCGAATGACCACAAAAGCAGATCCCGAACAAGCCGAGCCAGCTTTCTCATCAAACCCCTAAGCCCTAAGCCCCAAGAGCCTGTCCAAGATTCTGAATGTGCATGCAGCGTGATCCGGCACAGCCGCAGCCAGCGTTGTCTGCCTTGGAGAGCAGGTAATGTGACGAGATGTACTTCTTGCGGGAAGGTCTGTTCGAGTGCTGCAGTTCCGCCTCCTTTGGAAAGCCAGAGTTCCTCTCGAAGGAGAAGTTGATCTCCGCCCGCCCAGGAACCAGCCTAGCCCCCAGCTCAACTGGAAACCTGGACTTGTACTACCAGCGATGGCAAAGTGATCGACGTCAGCAAGTACGGGCGGTGGTTTTTGTCCATTCTGGTGAGACAGACCACGCCGCCTGGTACAATGCTCTTGCCGTACGTCTTGCGGCTGCTGGGTGCGTGACCGTGGCCTTGGATCCACAGGGCTTTGGGCAGTCAGATGGGGCGCGAGGGTACTTCGAAAGTTTCCAGGAAGTTGTGGATGACTTCGTGTGCTTTGTCAAGGCGAAGTGGACTGAGATGTCATCGCAGCAGGGCTTCCCTGCAACCCTCATTGTGGTGGCCAAGGGGCTCGGCGCACTCGTGGCCATGTCTGCACTGCCAGAGCTGCGGGCGATGGCCTTGGAGAGTGGCACCGTGCCGGCGCTGGCGCTGCTTTCGCCCGGTTTTCAGTTTGCCCGCTTCATCTCTGACCAATCCGGCGTGAGCTGCGGCCTCAACTCTGCACAGTGTGCGCGGCAGCCCTTGGCACAGTGCGCACGAGCTCCAATTGCATTCACACCCACCGGGGAAACGCAGAAGCTCGAGTACTTGTCGCGCTGGTTTCCCAAGATGATCGTGACGCAGCCTGTTGACCCAGACCTGGTGTGCCGTGATCCGCAAGCAGTGGAGCGCATGGCCAGGGATCACTTGATATGGCGGCAGGGGTACCGAGCTCGGGTGCTGTCGGAGATCGTTGAAGCACAGAACAGGCTCCTTCAATCCATCGAGCAGCATGGCGAGGACTTTCAGTGCCCGGCTTTGATCTTGCATGGCAGCGGCGACAAGTTATACTCCGTGCAAGGAAGCATCGGCATCCACAGCGCGTGGTGCCAGGGAGTTGAGTCGGAGGCCACAGCGCTGGTGCCACGTCTGAAAATCTATGATGGGGCATACCACCAGTTGTTGAATGAGCCGAACAAGGACGAGGTGATGAACGACATCGTGAACTTCGCCCTTTCCTCTCTGACCGGCTACTGACAGAATTGTCCATTATTGCGGCTCATCCTCCTTAAAGGTACTCACAAGCCTAGCATGACTAGCTTAGGTCCTTCGTGTTTCTTCGTCGTGTGCGCCGGAGGATCGCCGCAACAACGGAGGGGGCTAAAGGCGGCCCACCTGCTGAGGTGCCCATCCCGCGGCTAGCACGAGAGGAGTCGAATACCAAAACAAATAAGATCCGATGAGAAACAATGCAATACCTCGACGCAACTTACGATAATTCAATACTTCTTGGATTGACCAACCTAAAGGCCTAATCATTAAAAAAAGTGCCGGATTAGATAAGATACCAAGTTGGAACATTCCATTTCGTTTTCTTGAAATCATTGATATTTGTCTAACTTGTGTTTTTCATCCTTCTTTCTGAGGCATTTTCATATCTCCATAAAAGGCTACGGGCTCGGTCGCGTTGCGGTTTTGTGGTAATCTTGTCTGAAGTTTCTCGCAAATTTCGGGAATCCCCAGCCAGCTTCCATTCATTTTTTAGCTCTATACTCGATATCCTAAACCTCTACGACATCGAGACCTATCTAAACCCTAAACCTTCCGCGGACGATAGTGAGCGGCCAAAACCCTGCACTCTGAACTCTAACTGTCCCCCAACCTGCCACAAGGCCATAAGCGGCTGCACACGATGCATGAAGGAGGGGTCTTATTGTCCGAAAGCAGCTGCGCCCGTCCGGATGACGATGTCAGCGTTGCGAAATTCGACAGTTTCCTGCGCAGTGACCCCGCCGTCCATTTCAGCCACTTCCTCCACCGCCACCTTGCCCACACCCAGGAAGGCTTTCTTTGTGTAGAAAATGGCCATTGGGGCACAGCCCATGCTGTCCTGGTAAAGCCGTGCGCGGCGTCTCTTTTGACTTTAATTATACGTCAGAGGTTACAGAAGCGGCGTGTGCTCGTCAACTTTGCAACCGTGCAGCAGGGATGATTGCGCCTCCCTGAAAACAACCCCTGTGTGCGTGCCACCCGTCCTGCCTGCGCTGCCCAGGTCTTCAACGTCTTCTTCCTGGAAGTGCCCGTTTGCTCCGCTTCCAGCTTACTGTGTTGCACCCTCGCCCGCATTCGCCCGCCATATGGCCGAAGAAGTAACCAGCGGAGCCTCTCCCGAGCCCGCGGACGCTGACTTGCAGTGACTCTGGGCCGTGCTAGCCCAAGTCTTTGCCTCCATGGAGGACTGCGGCTTCGCCTACTCAACCGTGGCCTCCCTGGGCCCTAGACATCTTCTTTAACAAAGTGGACGCAGCACAGGCCCCTAGTGTGAATGAAGTGTCAGATTGCATTCCGGCCGCACGGCTGGGCAGGGCTCTGTCAGTCGCGCGCCGCCTGAACGCTGCAACCTGAGCTCCCAGCACATTGTCACTGAAGCGCTCTACTACTTCCACAGGCTCAAACAGGCTCAAATGTGACTCATGTCAACCAGCTGTATGGTAGCTGATTGCGAAGGATTCATGCTTACGGGTTTCAATTTTTAGTCTCGCAGCCCTCCGTTTTGTATTTGCGCAAGGCCGTTCAAAAGGAACGATGGTCCAACTCGGACGTAATGCCATTCTGTTAAGTGAAGGTTCAATTCAGACTGTCACAGACAAGAACTCAATATTGTCCTGTGAGAACCAGCAGCACTTGGAGTTTGTGTAGATCGACCCTGTCTAACAGCAAGCCCGGCCGATGTTGGCAGGGTGATAAACTTGCACCGTTTGTGTCTCCATGTATCCTACACGAAAATGTGGATTTACGTGTCAGCATGAGCATGTTTCTTTTGTGCGAAGTTGAGACCACATCGCGGGTGTTTAGGCGAGACGGAGCTTGGAGCTGCCCTGCCTGTGAGAGAGAAAGAGGTGTTTAGGTGTTCTGAGAAGCGGTGAACAAGATATGTTTTTGTGGTGGAGTTGTATCATGGCTATCCAAGGCCACGTTGCTACGCGACAATTGCCGTTGCAGATTCAGATGCAGAACGTTTCAAGTGCGGCATTCAGCTCAAACCGTAGCTACGTGCACATGTGCGGGGCAGAAATGGTGCGTCCATGTCTTTTTGCTGGAATCTTGCGTTGGTTTCTTGTTGGAGTCTCACATGCAGCAGATGATGCAGACTGCGTGGAGGGCTTTTCCAACAACATGTTGCAGCTTGGACCTGCGCAAATTCACGCGAAAGAGCATTTCTGCGGTCATCTTCTTGTGGACAGATGTGATCCGCAGGCTTATGTGTGGTGCAACAACAACTGTCGCCTACACACACACGGCCCAGATTGCCATCGCCCTCTTCCCGACGTAATGGCAGAGAACCCTGGAATCGATGGCTATTGCTATTTCAATGCGACTGCTGGCTGGCTTGTGTATGAGGGGCCAACGAGTGACTTTGAAGCTCATGCAGCAAGGACCATTCAGCTGTTCCGGGATTCGTCATACAAGGGCCTCAACACAGGAACGATAACCACTTATAACAATTTTGAGGGCTCTGGGAATCTCACAACCCACGCAGACAGCCTCAACTACTATTTCGATGATCTATACGGGTATTCGCTTGGTTTCTTGCAAGGTCAAGGCTTGCATTCCGGGTGGATGAGAAATAGCTCATTCTGGGTTTCACTGTCCAAGAGAAAATGTGATGAGATTCAAGCATCGTACCAGTTCTCCAAAGAAGAACTCGTCCTTGCAGACTGGCTTGACAATTTCGCCGTCATCTCTATCAAGACCATGTGCAGCACCGATGACTATCTTTGTCCAGGCAGTCCGAATCCAGAAGTCAACAGGATGGCAGGTTGGCGAAACAGGGCTGATTGTCGTCCTGTTACGCACCGGGAGTTCGCCAAGCACTTTTATGTCATTTGCAAGCAAGATGACATGGCCAAGTCAGTGATTCTAAAGGCTAAAGGGTTACAGTTGAACAGCATGCGTTTGATTTCTACAATTTCCTACACCTTCCCAGGGTGGTCCAATTTGTACTTGAACAGTGCAAGACTCTTGTTGAGGTGAAGTGTTTGCTCGGCTACCAGAACGCAGCCAACGAAATGGCTTACCTGCACGCTCGCATCTCATCTGAACCCGAAACTGATTCATTGCATACTTTGGAGGTGGGTGAGGCATTAGTTTCCCAGTATTCTGATGTGTTGCATGTTGATGACGGCCAGCGAATTGAACTGGCAGGTGCCTGCCTCTTGGACGGAAATCGAATTGGCCATTTCTCTGAGTGCTCTTACGTCCCCAACATTAGTTTTTGAAGATCTGATGCCAAGTCCGGCATGGCCTGAACAAAAGTCTTCAGTGAAGGCGACATGTTCCTGGACCTGCCGTGGCCAGAAAACAGCATACATGCATCATGGAAACAACATGCTTTGCGGAATGTGCAGTCAATGGATGGCAAATTTCTGCCTTGATGTTGCTGGTGTTTGTTTACATATGCGTGAGCTTGTGCACTGTTAGGCTTCTTAGCCCGTGGGTGAGTGTTTTGGCCCAAGTCTCGTGCACTTTGTGTTGTCATGGGTGCGAAATTTGCACATATTCAGGGGCTGCGATGCGCCGCAGCTCTATGGATCGTTCTGGTCCATGTCGGGCCACCATCTAGCGATGGCAAGGTGCTGATTGTATGGCTCTTCCTTAAATTATGCTGTATCTTCAAGTTCGATCGTTCTTTGCAGCCGGAACAAAATTTATCCCCGTGCTGCTGACCCCTGCAGGTGTGCTTTTCGAAGACATGGTCTTTTCTGGGAACACGGTCGCCTGTTGTTATGACGTTGTTCTTTGTAGTCTCTGGCTTTGTGACAAGCTCCAAGGCCCTGAGGGTGGATAGCTTCCGGGCTTACTTGTATTGGTATGGATGCCGGACATACCGGCTCTACACTCTTTTTGTTTTCAGCATGCTGTGGATGATGAAAGTGGGCCATTGCAAAGCCCACTTCCTGTGCCTTACCACTGTGCAACATTGGTGTGGGATGAATTGCTTCGCCCCTGATCCATTCTGGACGTCATCCGTGTTGTTTGCGGTTTGGTTGTTTCACCCGCCGCTGGATATCATCTTGCGCGCGGCTGGATGCGAGGTCTTGGTGTGTGGGATCATCTGGGTTTTGCTGTTATGCAGAACTGCACTCATCTATGCTGTTGCTCCCACTACATGGTGGTGGCCGACCTACATATCTGCATTCACCTGGTATGGGGACTTTGCCATGGGAGTAGCAGCAGCCAGGCGCGGCTGACTGTGTGCTGAGGCAGATAGAGAGTGCAGGGACCTCATGGATATAACATGCCCGAATGCATGCCTTGCACTTGGCAATTCTGCGGTTCCATTGAGAAAGAGGTGCAAGAACTTGCTTGCTGATGAGACCACCTGGCACCTCCGTTGCCAGCTCAGTTTTTTTATTGCGCCACTACTGTACATCTTGCATAAAAGGCTGTCAATGTGTGATGAATCGAAGGTTTTGCAGCAGATTCGGTTTTCATTGCAATCGGATTACTTCTTCAGCTTGACATCGAGCAGGCACCGTTGAGTTCGTGGATTCGTGTGGACTCAACATGGGGAGATGATGTTTGGCATGCTTGGACAGTGTTGGCTCATCTCTTTGCTCCACTCTTCGGACTTTGGCTGGCTTTGTCCTCTCGAAACCCCGGTATCATTGGTCGAGCGCTGTCGCATCAAGTTCTTGTTGAGTTTGGAAGCGTCTCCATGCAGATTTACCTTCTGCACTGGCCCAGCATCATCACATTTGCAGCCTATGTCCTAGGCCACACGGAGATCATACATGAAGAGCTACAGGTTGTGCCGAAAATGCGGTCAGAAGCTTACGTGCTACTTCTGGCATTCGTACTATTCTTCTGTAGCGGATTTGCGTGGTACGTGGAGCCGCTAATTCAAAAGCTCTGGAGCACCGCTCTCCAACTAGGTTCCGTAAACCTTGCTCAGAAGAGCAGGAATGCATAGCAGATTGGTTCTGGTTTTCAGCAGAGTTTTGCTGTCAGCACCTTCAGCCTGAAGTTCAGAGTAGATGTTTGCCTTCGTCACCAAAGCCAGGAAGGTACTCGTACGTCGTCTTCAGAGCTGCCAATGCCTTCTTGTAACGCTCTCAGCCAGAACAAGACAAAATAGGAACGTCCTGCAGCTCTGTTTTCGAACTTCCCTGTGCTTGGCTGTCGCCACCGAGTGGTCCGGAAAAGCCACCCGTACCAGCAACATCCGGCGGAGCGGCGGGCTTTCAGAAAACATACGTGCCAGAATGCAAGTGTCAAAGCCAAGGAGCTTCAGGGAAGCTTGAACACGTCGTTTCCCTGGAATGTTCAGGTTTGGAGTAGCCTGGGCCTGGTCAGCCAAGTCTTCCGCTTTGCCATGGCTGCAGAAGGGCGCTTCGTAACGCTGGGGGCCCTCGAGCAAGAACACTTGGAGGCAGAGTATGCTCAAACAAACTCAACGGATGTGGAAGGACTTGGGGCAGAGGATTCATGGTAAGTCCTAAGAGTCTAAGGGCAATCATCGTAAGTTTTGACAACATGGGCCACTTGCCAGGCTTGACTTGCTCAGATCGTCCTACTCAATATACCTACCATCATGCATCTCCCCGCGTCAAAGAGTTGCCCAAAAGGCAAGCTAGTCAAGCGGCAGTTGGCAGAACTTGCAACTTGCCGTCACTTGTGCATGTGCGGCAAGGTCCCTTCGCAGTCGACTTCAACTGTGTTCTCAGGCCGGTGTCCTGAGAAGTGGTTGCGGTCTCGCGTGGCCACCGTCCTGCGAGCTAATCCTTGGCTTGCAGGGCGTCTGCGTACGGACCCCTCTAGTGGCAAACCTGCGCTTTGGGTGCCTGACCATGTGGACGAAGAGGGATTTCTGCAGATCGCTCGAGTTGCAGACCCAGAGCATGTGGTGTCGAATCCCTGGCCCAGCCACTTCGTGTTGTCCGGTTCTGCCCTGCTTGACTGTGACGACGAGCCAGTGTGCAAGATGGTTGTGCTACTGGAGCCCACAGAGCAGCAATGGGGCCTCAACTTCTCCATGTCGCACATGGTCACAGACGCCCACACGTTTTACACAATCTATGGCATGTTGGATCAAGCATCAGGAGTGGTACGGCCGATGCAGGTGGATCGTATCCATTTCGATTTCACGGCTGTTCTCCCAGATGCGTTAACTCACCAGAAGAGACAGGAGCTCCTTGAAAGCCAAGGCAAGCACCAGCCAACAGCAATCAATTGCTGCATTCGATACGTTTGCCAGAAGTGGCTCCGTAAGCAGAAAGAAGCCTACGCTGCCAAGATTGATGCTGACGCTGCGTCGATTACAGTCAACGATCTGCTAACTTCCTGGTTCTTCAAAGCTACTCAGCCTGCGTATGGCGCTTTGTCCTTCAATTTGCGAGGCAAAGGAAAAGTGCCTGGTCTCTCAGAAGATCACGCAGGCGTGTATTCAACGGAACTTGTATTGTTGCCAGAGGAGTACATGTCACCGGTAAACATCCATCGTGCAATCGTAAGTGCATCTTCGCATCAGCCTCGGCATTCAGAAAGCTCTGTCCAAGGTTTGTGTGGGAAGAGGGGTGTAGTCACATCCTGGCATAACATTTACAAAGATGTACAGATGCCTGGTTGCACACAGAAAGTGCACGTCCCATGTGGTCCTGCAACGCTTTCATCGGACCTTCCTCCAGTTCCCTTTGCAACAATCTTCAGACCTGCTGCTGATACCTATGCCATGTTGACCTTCACAGAGCAGAACCTGGATGATCTTCCTGACACGCCCTTGGGGGACCCACTATGGGGTGTGGAGGCTGCTGCTTCTAACTTTGAAAGAGTGAGCCGCCTGCTCCACATGCAACACTGCTGAGATAGTGCTGCCAGCAACCGTTGCCTAGATACGGGAAGCCACGCAAAGCCGCCTTCCCTTGTCCTCACAGTGCCAATTTTGTTCAATCTACGACTTTTAGCAGTCATAGACTTAAAGCAGTATTCAGTGAATTGTTGTCAGTCCTGCAACAGGCAGGCAGTGCCGAGCCTGCTGGAAAATCACATGGCTCCGGAGCTAAGCAGATAAGTGGGCAATGAGCAGTAGCTGGCAGTGCAAGGGTTGACACGTTGTACCTTGCTGTACCATCCCGCAACATCACAAAATATGCTTTGTTGGGGGTTGAGCAGGGAATGAGTTCTCATATGCAATGGTGCCCGATTCTGCCATCTGAGGAAGTGGCAAAGTAATTAGTCAGCTATAAGATGAACCTTGGCGGGAAATCCTGGCGGCCGTGTGCACTATGCTCAAGCTGCAGCATCTAGAGTGTATCTGCGCAGCGGGCACCGTACTTTTATTCGTATTGCACTGCGAGTCGCAGCAATGGCTTCTCGACATTCTCAAGAACTGCTCGTAGCCATGTTGTTGTCGGCTGCCTGGGCAGTTGAGCCGACTTGCCCTGAAGCTTTCCCTGCCAGCTTTGTGCAAGTTGCATATGGATTGAGAAACCTGCATGAGGCACCAACACAATGTGGCTACTTGGTGCCAGACATGTGCGATCCTTCTGCAGATGCACCTTGCTCAAACAATTGCAGGTACCACACGAATGGCAAGGATTGCTATCGACCTGTTCAAGATGTCTTGGATGATCACAGTGATGTGGAAGACTTCGACGGGTTCTGCTACTTCAACTTCACTGCTTTCTTTGTCGGGCCACTTGGGGACCCGGACTTTCCGCAGGAGGTTGTGAACGGAATCCTCATGTTGCGTCGCAGTTATCAAGGACTCAGCCAGGGACCTCTCGTCACCATCAACTTGGAGGGCGAAATGCTTACAACCCACGTGGACAGTTTGCACTATGCCTATGATGATGTATATGCGTTCTCTCTGGGGTTCTTACAGGGACAGGGTCTGGACCCTGAGTTGATGCGGAACAGCACACACTGGATCTCACTGTCTGAACAGGCATGCAAGGGCCTACAGCACACATACAACTTCAGCCGTGAAGAGCTCACAGTTGCTGACTGGCTTGACATGAACATTCCCATCTTTGCCAGGATACACTGCGCGGCCGGGTTACGTATGGAGGATACCTATCCACCATCTCTCTTCACAGAATCCTTCATCAACAGATCTGGCTATCGAAATTGGGAAGACTGTCAGCAGGTTACCCGACGTGATCTTGCAAAGCATCACTACATGAAGTGCATGCTTGGCTATCGCAACAGCGCCAATGACATGGCCTATCTGAACGGAAGGGCATGCCTACTTGAAGGAAACCGGATTGGACACTTTTCTGAGTGTACATATGTGCCTGATGTAGCATTTTAGCTTCTGCAGTTCAGAGTGCCAACCAGGTGGTCACTTGTTGCATGTCATTCCGGCGCCCCGACAAAAGTTTCCTTTTGCCATGCAGACGTCATGCATGTGCCGGTTGCCTGAGAGCTAAACAAGGTAAGCTCAAAACCCTCAACGAAAGAGCAGCCAGAGTTGCAGTACCACTATTCGAAGCTGAAATGGGTCGTGCGTACTTAAACTCCTGAGCTGTCCGGAGGGTCGCTGAGTGGTGATTCCTGGGGCTTAGATCGGCCGAAGGCACGCAACGAACATGTGAAAGCCACGAGAGTGCGGGAGAGCTTACGCGTGTAAGTGTGTGAGCCGTGCAGCCGTGGAAGCGCCCGAGTGCTAAAGAGCGTGAGTGTGTGAGTGCACCACGCCTGGGTAGTGGCGCGAGTGCGTGAGTGTGCGTGTGGGCAAATTTGGTGAGTACATGGGTCATGATTGCGTGCGGGCGTGAGTGCACGTGTGGGCGAGTGCGTGAGCCGCAAGTACTTGAGTGCGTGCCTGCGGGCATGAGCAAGTGTGCGAGTTCGTGAGTACGCAGGTGGGCGAGCTGACGCAGGCCCAAAATACTTAAACGTAGTTCAGTTTTTGAATTGCGGAGGGAGGGCTGTTGAGGCTGCCGCGCCGCGGCAAAGTCCAAATTCGCCGTGCTAAGCCTGGAGGGGTCGTGCTGCTGAAAACCGCCATTTCGGCACGATTACCTTCTCGGTGGTCCCAGGGTGCGCGGTGCCAAAACTATAGTTTTCCCTCTCGTGAGTCATGGGGTGTCGTGGCGCCGAAACTAGTTTTTCTGCCCAATTCGAGTTTGCGCATGACGACTCTGATCGGAGGCAGGGTGTCGTGGCCCTAGTGCTCCAATCGCACCGAGAACTTGCAAGTGATGAATCACCAGCCTTTTCTGCCTGCGTGTTACGTGTTTGAATTGCTGCGTTTTTCGAAATGTAATTCTCCTGTAGTGGTTTGGCTCAAGCTCTTTGTGCCTAATGCTGAGCTACATTATGGTCGGATTGATGGTAAGAAGCAAGCTTGGTATAGGGTGATGGATGTGCGGTTCCACGACTTTGTGATGCAGGAGCAGTGCCAGCTTGACCTGGGGTCCATGCACAGTGATGCTGATCATCCCGTAGAAAAGAAGTGATGACATTCAGCCTGGCGCAACAAGGCCTATAATGCATTGAGGCCGTGCATTCAAATTTTGCAGAAAGTTGAGATAAGTTGCTCAACCCTGCTTCGTCTGCCCATCCTTTCTGAGAGTCCTGTGTCACATGCTCCCATTGCCAGACTCGTGCAGCATGCAACCATGTGTTGGAGACAGTGGCCTTGAAACACTCCGACCCAGCTGGTCGTGAGACAGGCATGGGCTGGCCACGTGCTGAGACCGATAGCTCTTGCTCTAGAGTGCAGGTTGACTTGTCAGCTAGAGCTTCACTTGTTTCTTGTTTGCTTCGATGCTTGCTTCCTTCACGGCTTCCACAAGCATCATTCCGTTGTTGTCCGAACTTATCTTTTCGTTTCACCCTTCAATGACGCCGCGAGATAAGCTATCAGTTGTCAGCTTGAGTCGCTTGCTTCAGCATTTGCAGCACAGCGGTATATAGTTGACTGGCTGACGTTGGCACACCTCGATGACGGCTAACTTTCCTACAACAGAGCGGACAACACGTTGACATCGAATGAGCAGAAGTTCAGCTGCTCGAAGGCATACTTGCCAGAGAACTTGTATGTTGAATCCCCCCAAGGATGGCAGAGTTCAGTTCGTGCGGAGCTCTTTGTCTCGTGCGGTGAAAAGACAGCAGGTGCCTCCGATGTTGCAGATGTGTCAACAGGGCTTGATATCTTGGCTTTTCAGTCTTGCTTCAACACAATACGCTTCAACAGCTAGGTGTCCAGGTGCTTGAGTTGAGGCTGGATGCTTGGTTACCGGATGGCCGTGACACAAAAGTTTGAGAGCTCCTGCACGGGGAGATTCAAGAGCCTTTTCCTAAATGCAGCATCCTCAGGAGAACGGCTCAATTGGGAAATACAAGAGGCCGCTGAAGACGTGGCGCACCTGCCCACTCTCAGGATGTTAATCAGGACAAGCTGTCATGATCGTACGGAGTTCAGATCTCACGCAAGCTGCCCCAGCTGAACTATTGCGTCGGAGTGAGACGTTTGGTGCCATCAAAATGATTTCATTCTTCAGAGCATGCACCAGTCGCAAGGCCCGGGCAGTTTCCTCAGGGGCATGTAGATGTAACATTCAACATGTGCCAAGGGTTCAGCGTGCCTTGCTGGCCTTCTATCAGGAAGACAGCACTTGGTCCAAGCATTTTCACTCGCATGCATGCTGTGTTGGTCCCTGACGGCAAGCTGTATGCCAACAGCTGCAGGGACACCTGGTGACTGTAGCCAGGTCTCGCGAACGCTTCCTTGTGGTCATTCCCTGCCTCGCGGTAGGGCGAGTTCATGCACCTTTGTCGTGTTGGATGCATGACACCTGTGCCGCACCGTGCCCCCTACACGTCACAGGGATTGCTTGTTGCGCACGCCCTTTCGTTTCGATGGGATTCAAGTAATCCGTGTCTTGGCCAGCTTGACTGCATGCCAGCTGTGATGCCTCGAGCGACTTGATGTGCAGGGCTTTGTATTCAGCCGCGGTCAAGATTTCCACTGCCAGGCCCGTGGCAGCGCTTTGTCTTCTAGCCAGCCCCGTCATACAAATGCAAGGTGTGACCGCCCTGTGCCACTATGACTTTGAAATTCAGATGTTAGCTGTTGCCGTTCGCGTGCCTGACACGTGGATGCCGAGGTTGCTGGCTGACAAAGCTTTGCCGAAGGCTTGTAGCTGCAACGACATGCAAGTCATACGCCAAGTATCGTACGAGCGGATTGAATGACCTCATTGTCCATCTGACAGAGGCCTCATGGAAACGTTTCCATAATATTAATCGATTCGCATATAGTTGCCCCTTCTCCCAAGGGATCCCAGCTGTTCCTGCCAAGACGTTGCGCCGCAGTGTGCATCGCCAGGAAATGCCGGGGCCAGCAAGATGTGGGCCATGCGTCTTGACTCCATGAGCTGTGTCCTTTGTTCAAAGGAGTTAGTAACTGCCAAGCTGGCGCAATCTGCTTTGCCGGTGCTTTGCTGCGCATGTGGGGTGCATGTGCCTGTTTGGAGCCATGCAGATCGCAGGCAGATAGATGCACAACAAGTTGTTGAAAAGCGCAGTGCTGCCCTTGGCTGAGTCTATGTCCTTGCCCCCGGCCAACCCGGGGCGCTTTACGGATCTTTCCTGTTCTTTGGATGTACATGGTTGTTTTTGGTCGGCACTAGCGCAATCCATGAGAGCTTGACGCCTGCGTCGGAGTGAGACGTTTGGTGCCATCAAAATGATTTCATTCTTCAGAGCATGCGCCATTCGCAAGGCCCGGGCAGTTTCCTCAGGGGCATGTAGATGTACCTCAAATATCGCCGCGAGTACATGCAGCGTTCAACATGTGCCAAGGGTTCAGCGTGCCTTGCTGGCCTTCTATCAGGAAGACAGCACTTGGTCCAAGCATTTGCACTCGCATGCATGCTGTGTTGGTCCCTGACGGCAAGCTGTATGCCAACGGTTGAAGGGACACCTGGTGACTGTAGCCAGGTTTCGCATACGCTTCCTTGTGGTCGTTCCCTGCCTCCTGGTAGGGCGAGTTCATGCACCTTTGTCGTGTTGGATGCATGACACCTGTGCGGCACCGTGCCCCCTACACGACAGGGATTGCTTGTTGCGCACGCCCTTTCGTTTCGATGGGATCCAGCTTGACTGCATGCCAGCTGTGGAGCATCGAAGCGACTTCATGTGCAGAGCTTTTTATTCAGCCGCGGTCAAGATTTCCACTGCCAGGCCCATGGCAACGTGGTAGTTGCTGACGCCTTCCTCGCCTGCTGAAGCTACAGGTGCTGTTCTGGACTTGATACACCCAGCTTCTGCAGTTTCATCAAGCGCTGCCTCTGTTGCAGGCGCAAGCTTATCACACCCGGTGCTGGCTAGTGCTTTTCTCTGCCTCGTTGAGCTTCTGGGTGCCGTTGAACAATGCACAGACACACTTTGCTTACCATGCGCTATTCGACTTTGCAGGACTACACAGGCTGGTGTGCGTTACTTCCGCTGAAGGGCGGTCTTTTGCAGACATTTCGGTCAAAGCAGAGGCAGCAGTGATGCGTGAGACGCTGTGCCGCGGACAATTGCAAGTCACGCCTGTGTTGGATTCAACACGAGTTCATCAGCATTAATGGGCGCCAAGCTGGCGCAATCTGCTTTGCCGGTGCTTTGCTGCGCATGTGGGGTGCATGTGCCTGTTTGGAGCGCACGCAGAGCACACGCAGATGCACAGCAAGTTGTTGAAAAGCGCAGTGCCGCCCTTTGCCGCGTCCGTGCCTTTGCCCCCCCTCCAACCCGGGACGCTTGACGGTCTTTTCCTGGATGCACATGGTTGTTTTTGGTCGGCACTAGCGCAATCCATGAGAGCTTGACGCTTGCGTCGGAGTGAGACGTTTGGTGCCATCAAAATGATTTCATTCTTCAGAGCATGCGCCATTCGCAAGGCCCGGGGAGTTTCCTCAGGGGCATGTAGATGTACCTCAAATATCGGCGCGAGTACATGCAGCATTCAACGTGCCTTGCTAGCCTTCTGTCAGGAAGACAGCACTTGGTCCAAGCATTTTCACTCGCATGCCTGCTGTGTTGGTCCCTGACAGCGAGATGTATGCCAACAGCTGCAGGGACACCTGGTGACTGTAGCCAGGTTTCGCATACGTTTCCTTGTGGTCGTTCCCTGCCTCCTGGTAGGGCGAGTTCATGCACCTTTGTCGTGTTGGATGCATGACACCTGTGCGGCACCGTGCCCCCTACACGACAGGGATTGCTTGTTGCGCATGCCCTTTCGTTTCGATGATATTCAACTAATCCGGATCTTGGCCAGCTTGAAAGAGTGAAAGGTGTGGAGCCTCGAAAAGACTTCAT